TACATATATAGAATGGTACTTTAATGGACCAAAGAGAACTCGCGAAAGGTCAGTCAATTATAATAAAAATTGCAAAATAGTGACATTTATAATTTTTATAAATATAAAAATAGTTAGTATAATCATTTTCTTTAAAATACGTCTAATTGAAAACGATCTGTACACGGAAAAAAATTTTACGACGAGAACGAGCTATTTGGGAATATAATTAATATGAAGGAACGAAACATCCAACGCTGTGAATAAGTTTCACCGCAGTAGCCGAAAGTTTAGCCAATTCGGCTATAGTGAATTTAAAGTTCAATCTTTCTGGTCAGCCATTTTGGCAATACAATATCGCTGGTTCATTTTTGACGAAACGTTTAATTGTTATGGCGAACAAAATCTCAGATGTAGTTGTACTTTTTTTTCCGTGTACTACTGAAAATTGTAATAATAGCATCTAAAAATTGAAAAATAATTTCTGTAATTTGACCAGTTAAAGCAATTCTTATTTAAAAGTCTAATACATCTTACTATAGACTTAGTAATTTTTAAATTACAAAATAGTAATAATTGAAATACAAATTTCAAGATTATTTCTACATCAAGCAGGATGAATCGTACGAGGAAGGTCGTAAGAAAAGAAAAAAAAACTTGAGACAAATAAGGATTATGCCTGTTTTTACTGACAGCCGGTTAATTTCACGCGCGAACTTTTGAATTCTTTATAATATAAATATACTTTTATTAATGTTTTTATAGATATTTATTAATAAATAATTAATAAATATACTATATTATAAATATAATATATTACATATACATAATGTAATATATAAATAGTACTGAAAAATAAAATTAATGGTGATAATAATTAATATTAAATTAATTATACCTAATTTTAATCATTATAAGTAAAAAAAGATATTTTTTAAAATATTGGCTGTGAAAAGTACATAGTTATTGTTATATTCCCAAAATCTGAAAAATTGTATCTTTTAAATGTTTTCAAGACTAGAAAAAATAAAATGTACTTTTCCCAGCCAATATTTCTCTAAAATAATTATTGTTAGAATAAAATAAATTGTATTTGAGCCAAAAATTACCGTATTTGAAAGAAATACAATTTAATTCGCTAAAATAATATTTATTATTCAATACAAATAAACACTTTCATTATAATAAACAAGTAATCAATTATTTGAAACAATAAATTTGTTTTTTTAGTGTACTTTAATTATATGTTTAAATGTTAAAAAATAAATTTTTATTATTACTTTTATAAAAAAAAAGTTAAAAATTTTTCAGTTACTAATAATAATAACAATCGTCTATTTACTACATTATTATAATCTTATGATTTTAAAAAATATCTTTTTTTACTTATAGTGATTATAATTAGGTATAATTAATTTAATATTAATTATTATCACCATTAATTTTATTTTTGAGTGCTATTAATATATTACATTATGTATATGTAATATATTATATTTATAATATAGTATATATGTATATAGTATATTTATTAATTATTTATTAATATATATCTATAAAAACATTAATAAAAGTATATTTATATTATAAAGAATTCAAAAGTTCGCGCGTGCAATTATCCAGCTGTCGGTAAAAACAGGCATATTGCTCAGCATAAGCGGGCGAATATTATGAGGAAAACGAAAACCTACAAGAGTAAGCGCACGGTTTATACCGTATGGTGGGAGGCGCACGGGCGGCATGGTGGGAGTGGAATTGGAATTGGTGTGCAACCTGGCATCACTGCAATGAAGAATTAAAGTTGATTTCCGATGAAATGGAAAAAGTGGTAAAGGCACACAAAAAATAGTTGAAAAGAGACACGAAAAAAAATACGATGAAAATAGTAATCGCTGGAAAACAATGTTTGATTTCTCTCATTTACGTATTATTGAGAAAGAAATTAAATTCTCCGAAACCATCATGTCTGATGGAGTAGGTGTATCTGTCCTTTTCAATTTAGTCAAACCAAAAAAATGTGGTCTTTTCTGTAGAAAAAAATCCAGTCATCAACGATAAATTGGAAAATTTTGATGTTTTCAAGGGATTTGATCCGGGATTGAATTTAGCTTTCGGCGGAATGGAGCTTGAAGGAGCTTTGGTGGAGCTTTGGAGCTCCAAAGCTTTGGAGCTTTGCTTGAAACTCCCGATTATAAGGAAAAAGTCAACAATAAAGACCCACGTTTAATTATAACAACCACCAATTTTTTTTTTTTTTGACATCGTTTTCTAGAAATCAACCACTTCTAGAGAAACAAAAAATTGCAAAATTAAAATGGGACAAATACATGTCTGTGCGCCGAGAGACAGATTTGCTCGCAAATTATCTCGTGGGCGATATAAAAAAAAACAATTGATTGTTGTTGGACAACCTAATATTCCGGCATGGTTGAAGGAACACGTGCGAATGTCATCGCGTGCAGTGGTCAAACAGCTCATCGAGAAGCAACGTAAATCAGAAAATTTATATGTTGTTTTTGTAAATGAGCATAGAACTACTGCAATGTGCAGCAAATGTAATAAACGACTTACAGTTCCAACTGTAAAACCCGCTGGAACCGCGATGTCAATGCGGGAAGAAACATTTTACATTTGAGATTGGTGAAAACAGGACTAATTCCTAAAGAATCTCTGTCTCATTGGGAAATGTTTAATGCAATTACAGCTGCAATAAACTAATTTTTTTTTGATTATCGCGACATATTCCTTTGGGTGGGGGAGGGATCTCTTTTCATTGGCTTCCTTTACGTATGATGGGAAGTTTGTGCCAAAGATTTTTTCTTTGGACCATGCCGTGCGCAAGGTGTACATTGTAAAAACTAATGTGTACGATTAAAATCAGCAAAGAGTTGCTCTTTTTAATGATATAGTCTCTCTCTTTGTTCCAAAGATCTCTCTCAAGGTCGTGCAATGGATGTTGGAGAATCTCACAGTGGGATGTCTCTATGGTAGTTATGTTGTTAACCAAGGTAATAATTTGCAATTATTATCGTACAAAGTCTAGGGGTGGGGAGGGCGAAAGAGGGTGAAAAAAGGATGTCTTGAAGATTCAATTTCTTCCCGAAACAAAATTATCTTCACACGCAAGTAAGCAGTAAAATATTACAACTATTTTCAACTCTTGTGTTATATTTCAAATGGATTTCTAGTATGAAAATGCAATCTTATTTACAAGGGTTGAAAATTACAATACGACAACAATTCTAAATATATAATTGCAGAGGGAAATTGTTTCAATAAATTAGAGTTTAATATAAACCTTCTTTTCTAGTTGAATTTGCGATTTTTTTTTCTATATAGTTCGAAAACAGAAGACGAAATACAAGAAAGAATTTCTGCATAATGCAGTATTATGTACGCATTCCTGTCTCAAAATTACCCTGGCAATAATGCATCTAAAGGTTAAAGTCGACTTTCACGAAAGAAAGAGAAAAAAGAAACGAAAAATTACGAGCTTGGTCTTAATGACCGTAGGTTTTCGATGTCATTTTGGTCAACGCGAAGATTCCTTACACAATTACTTCATTTATTTCTTTCATTTAGCAAAGATATATCAGAATTATATATACACTCAAATTGTATAAATATATATATATATATATATATATATATATATATATATATATGAAAGTTGAACATATTCAAAAAATATACATATATGAAGTTTTTGTATACCTCTATATATACATGAAGTTTATAGAGATTAAACCAGTTTTATGCAAGCACCATTACCATTAATATTGACTTGGATGCTTCCACCATTAACACGAACTTTATACCCACAGAGAGCGAGATGATGCAAATCCATCTTCTCTCTCTCATGAGGAAGAGAAAAATAAAATAAACACAATTTTTGACGATGAAAACGAAAGAAAAAATAAACTATAATTTAACAATTTTTTTTTCTTTTTTTTTGCACCAACAGCAAATGGAATTAAAAAAGAGAAAATCTGTATGTATATACTTTGCCTTTCATTTTTAATATCAAATGCTTTCCCCCCCCCCCTTTGAAGCTTCTTTCAGTAAGAGTGTACACTTATACTCATGACCTCGAAACCGTGACTTATGATTCCTTAATCTCATATCACGAGCGCTAAATTCGTTGGAGCCATCCAACACGACGCGTTAATGCGGTTGGTCTTCCTCACGAGACACGATCCGTTAGTACAAGAGTGTCATGTCGCCAATTTAATAGGTACTGAACCCAAAAAAAGCCCTCAACTACCGCTTTACTTGATCCTTATTTTTGTAACATTTTTTTTATATATGCAATATATACAAATTTATATAATTTTTTCTTTTTATTGACCGCATTTTTGCGAGGAATTAAAAAAAAAACCGCAAAAAAATTCGATTGTAAGAAATTAATGAAGTAGGGGAATGTCTACTACGACTTTTTACAATTGTAAGCTGTATTTCGATTTTTAAATCTAAAATTTTCGAACATTGGGAGTTGCAAAAAATAAATTCCACTCCGTTAGTTAAAAAAAATCGAATAATTGAAAATAATACAGTTGTTTTTTAAATAATTACTAAAGAAAATTTCGGACTGATGTTCAATCAGAAGTACAATTCCGAAGGATTTTGTTTATCTTCGAGACAATTAGTTTCTATCCGAAGCTAAAATTTTGTTTGTAATTTAAAAAGAAATTTTGAAATTATACCAAATTAATTCGTTTCATTTCGAGGCTGAATTTTATTTCAAATCCTTACCAATCTAAATGCGCATTAATACTGAATTATATAAAAGAATTCTTAAAAATCAGCTTGAGAATAAGTCTGATTATTAGGAATGGTTCGGAAAGATTTTTTGTTCGTTTGAACGTTCACAACTTTTGAAACATGATTCTTTGTAACTTTATATTTCTTGGAACATTTAATAACATTTCTAACATTTGGGTTGGAACTTATTTTTTACAACTTCTGTAAACCCCAATCTTTTCGAAGGATATATAAATAAAAAATAAATTATTTAAACTCACCGAAACAGCTCACTCGATTCTGAAACAAAAAGAAAATTATAATTAATATAGAACAATAATTAAGCATAAATAATTAATTTATTGGATCATGTTAATTAAAATCAAAATCTGAATAAAAGTAGCATTTCATTTGAAAACTGATATGTTTTTCGCAATGAGAGATTCTTAATTGTGACTGTGTTTAATTATTATTGGACATACTTTACATTTAAAATGCATTAAAGTTTTAAAGTTCTTTAAATTTACAAGCACACCATATGGTAACATGTAACAAAGTATCTTTCTCTTGGCGAAAGTATATACACATTGCTGACGGAACTCATTTTAAGTATGCGTGAGAAAGATAATATGTTCATCAAGTCGGCTCCAATTTCGATGATGGGTGTGTGTATATATATAGAGTCGTGAGTTATAAAAAGAAACAAGATCGTATAAAACAAATTCTGTACTTGAAGGTGATTTTAATTAGTCGAGAATTTAGGACATGAAATTATAAATTATTATTCAGGTGCAAACACACCTTTTTGATGTTATATTTGCCACTGTACGCTACTGACAGAGGGCCACAATTCAATTTACCAATTTGAAAATCATGAATCTCTCAATTTAGAAATATGAAAAATTTAGAAGATTTATAAACATTTAAAAATGAAAATTCTTCTTACAAATACAAGAATTGAAATTTAAAAGAAACTATTGGCCCTTTGGTTGCGAAACGATGTTTATTCTTATCCTATATATAAGACAGGACAAGTAGGCGGATAAGTTATACTATTGCTGGACATTCAGGATGAAAAAGGGGGCAAAGGGAGAAAGAGAAGACTCGTCGAGATAACATTAGGTTTGCTAAACTTTCTTGAACGAGGTTTCACGAAGATCCTGTACCCAATAAACTTCCAACTGAAACACTCTCTATATTTCCGGTACATAATTGAAAATTGAGAGAGAAAAAAATTCTTTTACAAAAATCACTTAAAAAAACTATTTTTATAAACATATTTATATTGTAGTTAGTTATTATAATTGCTAAATCAATTAAAAATTATCTTAAGAATTATTTCTCATAATTTATCGTTTTATTAGGAAATTTCCATTTTAAAATATTTTTTTTTTTTTTATTTATTTGGAATTGCACATTAGTGTTAATGGAAAAAAAAATGAAACCAATTATAGAATCGTATATACAAAAAAAGGACATCATTTTCTCTTTACATTATTTTCTTCAACATCGCAACTACCATAAACTCTTATCAAAGAGTTAAACAAGAATGTTGCGTTTTCAAAAAGAAATTTGCAATTACCTACGACTTGTAAGAATGATATGAAAATCAATTGAAAGTCAAAAAAAATGTTCTTCATTAAGAAAACATGATTGCTGAATGTGGTTCATAAAGGATCGCGTGACTTCGTTTTATTATCGGGGTAGTTACTATTTATAAACAAAACAAAACAAAAATTTTATACAATTTACGTATAATATCGAAAGAGAAAATTGAAAATTAAAGCAGAATACTTCACGTATAATTCCAAATCCCAGGGCTTCTCACTCTCTTTTTAAGGCAATGATTATAAAACTGGTTAAGTTGTTGCAATTTTATCTTCAATTATGCAAATATCAGTTAATTTAATTTTTTTTTTTTTTTTTTTGCAATTTAGTTTTTATCAATCAATATCGTGAAGGGATGTAAAGTGTTGGCAATGTTTCAAAACATGCTTGACAACATTTAAATGAATTTTATTTTATTTCTATTTACAATTAAATTATCACAGAAAGTATCATCGAAATTATAAAAACAGTGAAATAAAAACGATTTTAAAATTATATTTTCTGTCTTTAATTTCTCATTTTGAATTGTAATAATATATTTATTCAATCTTTCTATTCGCACCATAAAAAGTGCAAGAGATTAATAAGAAATAAAAATGATAAGAACATTTATAATCGCAAAGTAGTATAAGAAAGAGATCTTCATTGCATATGAAATAAACATTAAAGAAGATTAAAAAGTGAAGATAAAGAAAACGATCTTATTTACGTGACAAAAGAAGGTTTATAATGAGTTTTTTTTAAATTAACATTAAAATAGTTGTAACATTGTAAAATAAAAAATAATAAAAATGAAAAAACAAAAAATTACAGAGAGGAAAATTATGAAATTATTATAATAAATTATTGTTTTAGAGGGATTTCAGAAAATATTTTCTATTGGATAGTATTAAATTTAGTATAAGGAATTTTTATTCAAGTAAATCGCCATGCTCATCAAATCTCGAAGATCGATTGAATCTAATGTACGCCTCTTACAGCACGTGCCATCGATCTTGATGAGATCGATGAATAGGATGATTAACTACTCGAATAGAAGCAACGTTCCAACGTTAATTATAAGAATAATCATTCATCAATTGACACTTTTCTTTAAAACCGGTTTTTCTTTCTTTTTTTTGAATAAAATCTATTATAATCATTAATTATATTTTGTTATAATTTAGAATTGCTAATTTTTAGTCGCATATACTCCATTTAATTGCCTTTTGATATCCCTCTGGCAATAATAATATAATAATAATTATTGTCGTGTTCTATAGGTATAGAATATAATTATATCGACTAACACGTTTCGTCGCGCTAATATAATATATTTCTCACAAATGCAGGAAGTCTTTTTAGTTATTATGGAGGAGTTAATAACTAAATTTAAAAATTATTCTATATCCCAGACTGCATACCAATATATGAGACTCGATTTGAAAATAATATGACGACGAAGACAGAGCACTTATGAAAGCGGAAATCGCTATAAGTACATGAAATCAATCTCATAACCATTTTAAATACATTATAATATCGCTTTTATTTCCGTAATATGAAGAATTAGTCAAAAAAAAAAAATTTATTTTTGAAAAAAATTATTATATTGATGAAAACGGCTATTCTTATCGTGAAATTTATTTGACTTATAAATAAAGTTCTAGCCAATATACTGTAATTTCACTTATATGTATTTTTTTTTCTTAAGATTCTATTTGAAACACAAGATTTGTTTTCTTGTAAAATTTAATCGATTGGCAATTGCATTTAATGCTCATCGTGTAAATCGAGACTAATTTTTGTTCAATTATATATATATACTTCAATCAGGTAATTATTAATTCGTATATTATCGATATATCTGAAGACATAATCCCTTATGGATAATTAAATTTCTATACAACACAAGAGAGGTGCAAGTTCATGTATTATGAAAAAGCGCGTAGAATAAATAATATATCAATTATTAATTAGTAATATTGGCTGGAGAGTCAATTTATTGTACTATCCTACTACTTCCGCATTAAAAGAAAATACATATAATTGCTATATCGTTATGTAAATAAGATTAAACTTTCTTATTTACAACTAATGATACTTGAATTTTTAGATGTTTTTATAATTTGGTTCATGTATTTCAAAAAAAAAATTAATTGCAAAATTTGTGTGAATTCTAGATAAAATAATTTTCTTTATCTTTCAAGATATAGAAAAAATAATAATCGCACGAGTTTAGACTTATTTCTTGATTATTTTCCCTTGATAAATCAAGAGTAAAATTTTTTGAAAATCTAAATTTCAAAGGATTCTTTTCTAAATATGACATATTCTATCGGGAAAACCTATATATATATATTTAGAAAATAATTATTGTTGAACATTGCATTGTGTGAAGTCTTCTGATTTCAGGCCCTGAAGGCAAGAAAGTAGTTGAACCATAACAATAATTTTAAAACTTATAGTAATAATACGCTCACTGTAACAATAGAACATATTCAACTCTATTTCCTTCAACTGTCACTACATAAACTAAAAATTAATTAAATTAAGTGATTTTTGAAATTTTATTTAAATCAAAAGAAATATTAATAAATATTATAAATATAAGAATAAGAAAAAAAAAACTCACGAAACGTGTCAAAAAGAGTTGATAACATATACAGAAACGTTTAAGAGAATCATGTTATAGTTTTTGTGAGAAAAATTATATCTGCAATGTGCGATTCAACTCGTCAGTTAATAATAAGAAAAAGTGCCCGAATGACATTCCGTGAATGTTCTTCCTGCAATCGGAAATACCAGGAAGTTACAACTATAAAGACGCGATATTATGGCGCCAGATGACAATATTCCATACAATGTATGTTAAAAACAGTTTCGATATTACTCTCCTACTTTTTTTTCAAAAATTGTTCAAAGTGCTCTAGTATTTTTTTTTATAAAAAAAAAATTATCCTCGATTTAATTCATGAACGAGATAAAATTTTTTTTTTTCCCCTAAAAATGAGAAGAAAAATTTAAGCTAAAAAATTAATTATTCAGTACAATAAAAAAATTACTGTAATTTAAAACTTTTAAGTTGAAGGAAAAAAGATGAAAAATATCGCAGATTATTATCGATAATATTTACTTTAAAATTTATAAAATTCAATTGTACATTGCTTGAGGGGGAAAATAATGTAGAAAAATTGCGTTAAGTCAACATGAATGTTAAACTGCGCGCGATACATAGGGGGTGCAAAATGAAGAAAACAAAAGATAATAATACAGCGGACAGCATCAACTAACCGCAAAAGAACGTGAGATTGCTACTTTCTTGCCCCAGTATCTAGACTTATATGGGGTGTCCTATAAAAACATGTTTTTCCTATATGTGTACAAAAAAAAATAAATTTTTTTCCATTCCCCGTGTAGAAATTTCCCTACCAGGGCCCTGGTAGTGAATAATAATCTGGTCCCGATCAGGGACTGTTCAGGGCCAGATTAGGGCCACGAGAAAAATGGGGATTTCCTAATCAGGGACACATCAGGCGTAGCGTCACATTCCCGCCCGATCCGGCCCCGATCCGAGCCATGGCAAAATTTCTACACGGGTCTAAACCATTCATTTCAATAACTTTCACGTTAAAATGACATACATATTTTGTAATTCCACCCTTGTATACAACTATTTATTGAAGATTTGAAGATAAGGAAAATTTTATGAAATCAGATTAGAAGATTTGTAAAATAAAAAATTAAAAGAAAAATGCAAATTAATTTTCACCATAAGAAATCTAACAAGAAATATTTTTTCCCCTTATAAATAATTTTATATAAAATTATTTTCTGTCTTGTAGGACAAACTAATAAACAAGACACCATGTGTATATGCGCTTAGGGTTGCTTTCAAATTCATTGGTTTTCGCTTTATAGTTACCAGTTTACCGCAAAAACAGTAATAAAAGACAGTTGTTACCACACAGCCTACATCAAAGTTTTGAAATATACTCAAAGATTGCAAGATATCCAATTTACAAAAATTGAATATTTTATAAATTTCAGTCATTTATTGTCCCTGTCGAGAATCGTGACTAATTTGACGACGAAAATTTCCGAATGAAATCGATCAAAGAAAATAAATATGTAAATTAATTAGAAATGATCAGTACTCGTTTAGCGTGCGAGCGATAAACAACATTTTTGACAAAGACTGTTTACTTATACGTATGCGTGTGTGTGAATATAGTTTGAATTTTATTTTATTATTATATTATATCATGTGGAGTGATTTTCTTTAATTTTATTATTTAATAAACTATGTTCAGTGAAGTTGGGTGTTATATTTTAAACCTTTAATTTTCTATTATTTGGCTCATACACAAAAAGACTAAAATAAATCAAAAATATTTTATAAGACAATCAAAGTTGGTTTGTGTATTGTTCAGTCCCCCTTTTTAAAAATTAAATTATTTATTTAACCGAATAAATATATTTCAATATTCATAAATTTTCATCAAACCGAATTTTGCCAAAATTTCATTAAGAATTTTCTATCATCTAAAATTTTATTTAACCAAAATTTTAATTAACAGAATTTTAAATTTTTATTTGCCCTAAATTTCTTTTGCCTATAATATTTTCAAATATCCCAAAATAACATTTGTCCAAAATTTCATTTATAATTTATTTGCCTAAAATTTTAGACTCAATTGAAATAGAGAATCCATAGAATTTTAGACGTAGATCTCTAGAGAAGAAACTAAATAATGATAATAAGGATATTTAATACAAAAAAAAACCAAATTTTCTTCATAAAATAGATTAGTTATGTGAGTGAAAGGAAGAGAGGTAAACTTTCGTAATTCACTTTAGTTACAGATAGGGAGGGTAAGGAAAGGGAATAAATTACCGATGCACACGGATGGAATAAATAGTGTTGATAAAAGCGCAACTTCTCTTAAACAAAGTAGAAAGACAAAGATCGCGCATGAAATAGAATCAGAAACACCGTTAAAGCATCAAGAAAACGATCACGATCGATAAATGGATTTTCTGCTTCGAGCAATTGAATATCTTTTTGTAAACAACATATATATATACACACACTTGATTTAAATTACTTTCAGAATCACGTTTCTATTTTATATATATCAGTCTCCCTTTTGTTCTATTATAATTTTCTTTAAAATATATTTACCGAGAGAATAAGAAGGTTATCGAATTAGTGCAACATTAGAAGATTTCATGAAAAATTGCATCAGGAAGTATTTTTCTTCCTGTTTGTATTGATTTCACTATTATATTTACATTACAATCTTCAAATATTCTAGAGTTCATTAATGATTTATCACTTTCGATAATTATGAAAAAATCATGAAAATAAAATGAAAATTTATACTTTCATAATAAAATATATATGTATATTTTAAAAAAATTCTTCTGACCTAATTCGATTGTATCTTGTATAACAATAATAAAAGGAGTCTACAACTACTGTTAGGAGCAACGATGAGCACTATTGTAAATCAAACTTCTATTATTTATTGCCGTTGAAACAATAATTATTGCTAGAAGGGTTATAAATTATTAGATACTCAATTGCTATTATTATGGTAATCCTCCTCAAAGCACAATGAAAAATTGGCATTTCCCGTTTTGAACGCCATGGGGATTTGCGTTTTACTTGCAATGTGCTAAGTCATTGTGGATGAAAGCATTTTCGCGAAGAACGCAAAAAAAGATTAATTGACTATTGATTCAGTCAAGAAAAATATTACATCTATTGACTTTTTCACTGCCTTAATTAGTATTATCGTAATTGCTTTATTTCACTTTCAAAACTGTTTCCCTTTTATAAATACGTCATTAATAAAAAATTCCACGCCATCTCTCTAAAAGGAAAGAATTTTCCATTCATTCTGTAAAGAATAATAATTCTCAAATAGAATCTAAAAATAATGACAAGTATTGGAAATTCTAAAAGAAGATTTATAGTAAACTATAAAATTTATCAGTTTGCACGATATGTAAAATAAAAATAGAATGCGTTTCTTAAAAAAAAAAAAATTCAAATTATATAATTGTAAAAAAAATTATATTAAAAATTTATTGTAAAATAAAAGAAGTTATTATAATAAACAATATGGAAAGTCATTAATGAAGAACTTCTATATAGAAAAGCTACGGTACTGCAAGTATCTAAATCGACCTTGTTTCAAGGATAATTATTGCGCCAATTTGCGGTAGCATTTGCAAGAGCAAGAGCCAGGCAATTATATCGTGAAGAAAAAACGTGTCTGGTCTCAACCCCTTTTCCGCACAGAGTGTATTACGAAACAACGTGATTTACACTGTCTGAACTGTTATTAGTTTATGATATTGCTGAGCTATTAATCTCAAGTCTATTGGTTCTTATACATGAAGAGACCTTTATTCGTTTATATATATATATAAAAACAATAATCGATTACTATCGCTTTACTCGAAAATATACTGACCAATATAACGCAAAAACTTTTAAAAATTGCCTCTAAATGAAAAATTAGAAATATAAATTTCTATATAAATAATATTGAGTCATTAAATAGAAAACAAAAATTAATATTACAAAAATTAAATGTCGAAAATAAAATGTTACAACTAAATTTTTTGTAATAAAATTTTTTCCAATAAATTAAAATATTTACCTTAATGACGAATTTTCAGCTTCAATGAGATGCTTGCAAACTAAATAGCCCTCGGAGATCCCTACTTTCAAGTTAAATTTCCATTCGGAAAATGTGAAAAATAACCGTAAAAATAGACCGAGTTCTAAAAAGTCGACAACTGGAGAATTCGGTGTCCTTCAACCCTTTTTTACTTTCGCCCTTATCTTTGAAGTACGTGACAACACAAGCCATCGGAGGATAGAATCTGCAAAAAGAAAACAAATTTAAAATTTTTCGAAATTAATTGCCACAGTATTGAAAATTGTTGAAATTTTGCACCGGAATAATATTAAAACACTAATAAATTTTAGTGACCAACAATATGAAAATTTAATATAAAACCAATTTTTTATAATTTATATTATATTTTGATAAAAGTCAAAATTATTATAATTTCTGCAAATTCCTGAATAGCTTTGGCTATAATTTTAACGAGAATTACAGTGTCGTTTTCACTTATGGTGGCAAGAAATTTCTTTTTTCTTTTGGTACATAAAATCTGAATTACGCCTAAAGCATTTTGCGCATGAGATTGGTAACCTCTCAGTAGTTGTTGTGATTGATGAAGAATATTTTGCTCTAAAATGCGTAACTTATAAAAACACTAATGTATTCTCTGCCTAACCTTTAGGCGACAAAAAAAATACATATACCATGTTACAATAATGAATTAAAGAAATTATTTCTTTAAATCATTTTCATGAAAAAAAAATCAATTTCTTTTCAATCAAATAATAGATAAGATTTATGCCAATTTGTAATTTTTAATTAGAAATTTGTGATAAAATAAAAAATTTTAATTACATGTTCTATTGTACAGAAGTCATTTAATGCTTTATAGCCACTGGTTATTTATTATAGAAAAGATTTCGAAAATATTATTGACAAACTATACAGATATATTGGCTTGCAAACTTCAATAGGCGCCACATTTCTTTGCATAAAAGACAATTTCAACACCTTCAATTTTCACACTTTACGATATGCGATATATTCTAGTGATAGAAGTTAAACTTATTGTTACATCATGCAAAAATACATTTTCATGTTACTTTATGAAAATCCATGGGGCAATATAAACACAATTGTATATATATTTTTCATTTCCTATTATAGAAATAAAGATAAATTTTTTTATTTTTTATTAAAAATTTATTTTAGAAAAATTATATTTTAGCGAAAAAAAAAATTCTGAAATTTTCTTTAAGTTTCACAAGAGTTCCTTGCCAAAATATACTTTTTTTCGTGATGTCTGAACAATAACCGCGTTGACGTAAATTCTTCAAGAACTATTTCCAGAATACTATATTAATAAAACGAGACAATATATTTTGCAAAATAAGAAATAATCAAAATTCAAAAAATTGGAAAAATTTAAATCAAAATTATGATCAGATTTTAATTGAATTAATACACACAACTAATATACCTTCTTTTTACGTAATATTCAACTTTTCTTATACAATCCTAAACTATTAAATTACAACTTATCAACTTCATTAATTAACAACTTTATCGGACATAAACGCGGAAATTGAGAATTTCAAAACGAAATTTTACACGATAATATAAAAAAATGAGACAATTTACAGTTATTATCCACAGTAATAAAAGTGTATGGAACTGATGATAATATAAGAAGAAGATAAAGAAGTTACGCAAGGGGTATTCTGCATCGATGTAACATAAATTAGATTGAAGTTAAAACCTTATTTTAGACTAAAAGAAAAGATAAAAAAAGGATATTGCTACAGTTCTCTGTATTATAAAACGATAATACAAAATGACTTAATTCCCCTGATCGCCTCTGTATAGTTTTATTATATTCTTGGATTACGCCTACTTAAATATAAATATATAATTTCCACACAATAGAATTTTTATGTCAGTATTTTTTTTTTACATCGAAAAAAATTATTTGAACCAAATAAATATTTAGTAGACCTAAATATTTCAATAAATTTTAATTAATTGAATAAAATAATTTTTTAGTGATAAAAGAATTTTAAAAATTCCCTATTTTTCGTTTTTAAAAATTGATAATAAATGTTGGAAAATAAAAATGTTGAAAGATAGAAGATTGTAACATGGCACCACTTCATCTTTCGCGGATGATATTGCAAACGAACATCGCACATAAAAGCGAGAGTCGAAATTCGATACGGACGCGGTGTAACTTCACTGCTCGATTGACGAAGTCGTGGGTGTTAATACTCTACACATATATATACATACACCTAAACATTCTAGGTTCTAGCAACAGGTAGCTGACAGGTAATGCGAGGTTTTAAAGGTTTAAACACGTGGATGCGATCCAATCTTTCCAACCAGTCGCTTCATTCAGAATTTTAACAAGCATGAAGATAAATTATAATCGAGTGAGTGGATCAAAGTACCATTTACTTGATTTAATAAACTTCCAAAGGGGTTCTAATATTATTTACAACTTTTCCAAAAACAAGCCAATTAATACAACATTTAATAAATAATCTTTTTTACCTAAAAACCAATTTTAAACCAAATAACAATAAAATGCATCAACTAAAGAAATTCTATCCGTATTTTCCTATAATATTCAATTTATTTCTTTTTTTTCAAGTTTAACTCACGTTGGAGTCTCACAATTAAAATTCAGAATTATAGAGAAAAGTATATATATATACTATATTTTAACCCCTCACAAATGATTATACCTTGAAGGTATATATGAAGAAAGTTTTGAAACTTGAGACCAGCGTGAAAATTTTAAAGTTATCACCTCACGGCATCTATTTTAAATCACGCGATTGTTGTTAAATCAACACCATCAGTTTCTCTCTTAAAGCACATTGCACTCGAGAGAGCAAATCAATCTTTCGCAAAATTTCCCCTATTTTTATATACCGGGCAGCTAATGAGTCAAAGTTCGACCTTCGTGCAAATGGCGAATCGTGCAAAAACATTTTCACACTGATTTTTCACCTGTCTTCCTTTTATCGAAGGAGATATACTCTCAACGTAAATCTGCCATTTTCAAAATTATATGAGAAAAAGTTGAATGGCCTCAATATTTTTTTTTTATTATTATTTATTCATCTTTTATAAAAAATATTTTTTTAACGAAAAATTTTATTATATTAATTATACAAATTACTCTTCCGATTAATTAATAATTTACCCAACAAAATTTTTAATAAAGAGAAACATCATATTCTTGTCTTCTATAATAGGAAACTTCAAAGATTTAAAGAGAGAGAGAGAGATCGTTTTCTCTAAATGAAATTTAATAAATCGCAAAATCTGTTACTGGGTAACAGAAAAAAAAATGTCTACTTCTTCCTACTTGAATCAAAGGTCTGACAGTTTGACTGTCAATTCCGCATTCCTATAACAGTTGCTAAGCGTCAATATGAACACCCTATAGGAAATCCCGCAGCGCGAATATGGCATATAAAATGTAAAAAATATTAATTAATACTAAGATCCGGCGTTGATTAAGCTCAACCGTGCGAAATGAAAAGGAGACGACTGACACCTGCAGAAAGTCCGGTCCTCTTTCATTCTCTCACTCTTTTATTTATTAGTCAAAGATCGAGATGAAAGTAATATTTATAAAGTCCATTCACACGACCAATAAAGATTTATTTAAAAAAAAAACATTCCTAATTTCTTTTTATATACCTCATTTCAAAAAAAAAATTTAATAAAAATCTAAAAAATGTGAATTTAAACTATTTTTAATTATTAAACTCGTTTTAATTTAAATTGTAATTTAAATAATCATTTAAATCATTGCAAGAAATTAAATATTATAAACTTTCCGATTTATATACAAAAATACTCTGTCCTCATTTTCAGAATTTATGGATCGTTAACTTCAAAATATGAAAAATGTCACATCGATTCTTCAAATAACAATGGAAATTAATCAAGTTAAAATTATTACAGATCGTGACTTTAAGATTAAAATTTGAACTACACGTTTTTCACATACCTAGATATATAAATGTCATCATAGAGTGTGGATCTGCTTTAAATATTAATTTAAATTGAAAAGAAATGCCACGAAGATATTTTTAATTTGATTTTTAGTCTAATAGCATATAAATATAAAAGCATTTACAATTTTAAATCAAAAGAATATAATATTTACAATGTAAATGCATTCATTTTGCGATATCTCATTAATAAGAAAATAAATCTCCACTATATCATTAAGATGAAAGGACATTTTTCAGATTATCTTCACTAATCTCTACTATCTCTCTCTCTCAATAATGAAATAAAACTTTTCTATACTGCAATTTGTTGCATCTGTATATATAACTATATAAAGGTGAGAACTTTGTGTTTATTCAATGTTTATTAATTTTATTGAGATTCAATTGCAAACGAAGGGTTTAAGAGATTGTGAGCACGCAAATCATGAAGCGAGACATAGACACACAACACTCGATCCTGATTAATAGCGTTTACTACGGTTGTAAACAGAATTAATCAGGATCGAGTTTGCAGTGTTGCGACAGAATGCTAGACGGCATTAATCAGGATCAAGAGAAGAGACTTCTCCTGCTGGTCATACACTGCAAGAGAGACGAGCATATATGATGCAAAGAAAACTTTACTATGTTCCGAATGCCTAAACAAATGTAAGAATAAATTGACCCCTTGCACAATATGATCAATATCAAGATTTAATTTCTCATCGAAGGAAAAAAAAATACAATATACAATTGATAATTATGGAAATTGCAAAATAAATTTTTTTTGAAAGAAATTCTTTTTTTTCGCCTTTTATAATTCATTCATAAACCAGTTCCATTATGTAAAGGGTGGAGTTACCATAATGGCATGGTGGTTTTTACTGCATCTCCCTGGAGTTTTACTGCCATCATACCAACTTAAGGACCACTTTTAACTCACCGACGGTTCTTTGAACCCAAACACTAATCGTATATTGAAAATATTTGAATATCAAAAATAAAAATTCTAAATTCCTTAAAGATTCTTGACAAATTTAATAGAAAATAGAGAAAATAAAAACATTCTAGACTATTCTAGTCTCAAATAAGACATTAGAACTAGACAAAAAATTGTAAACTAAAAATATCTATGTATCTTATTGAATATATGACTCTTCAAAGTTTAACTGCCCTCTGGTTATGAATATTGTACTTTCAACTGTCAAAGAATAGTGAACATTAAATGGTTCAAAGCCATCAGAGCATGCTGAGCTATCAGCATCGTCATGTAAAACCACTCAGGATTGAATATTGTCATTCTTTATAGCAAATTACAACCAGTGTGTTGTATTTTAGTTTCACTTTCTAATCGGTCATTATATTCTTGATTGATTTTGTCGTGTTGTCCAGGAACTACACTCTCAAATTTATCATTTCATAAAATTTTCAAATTTTTAATTATACAATTAACAAAAGAAGCAATGAAACAACTTTCAATAAACATAAACCTACATCATCATGTTGCAGGAGGAAAGCAAATGTTAAATCGTGACAAGTATCGCAGAGTCACCAACTGCAATACTTTATACCGTCCCATCCAGAAATTTTGCCAGGGCCCAAATCGGAGCCAGATTAGGCTGCTTTATTAGGGAATGAAACGCCGCGCGCCTGATGTGGCCCTGATTAGAAAATCCACATTTTCTGGTCGCCCTGATTTGCCCCTGATCAGGTGTGGCGCTTCATTCCATACTAGGGCCCTGGTAGGGCCCTTTCAAAATTTCTGCACGGGTTGCGGTAATTCAGAAATCTAGCTTAAAATTTTATTCTTTCGAAAAAAAATGATTCCAGTATAGGGAATAACACAAAAATCTTGAAAATAAATGATGCTAACAATATATGGCAATAGATTTACTGAAGAATCATATTCATTCATATTTTTACTGATTTTCCTTAGATTATATAAAAATAAAAATATATTCAAAATGCGAATTATTATATTCTGGCATGTATACAAACATTTGATATATAAAGTTCAAGCTTCTAATACATAACTGTCAATGTACCTGGCGCAGAATCCAGGACAGTGAATGGAATACTCTACAGACGATAAAATCGCATAATTAGTGATACTGAAATATTTAAAGTGTTTATATACTAAGTTCAGCGCCACATTGCATTGTTGCAATATATCTAAACTGTATCTTGGTATGTGCGGCTTTTATGCGAATACTAGTGAACACAAAGATTTCTCTCTCTCTCTCTTTCTCTCTTTCTGGTCGTATATAATCAATTTTGATATACTTGCAACGATACGATGCACATTTGCTTATTATAATCCTATGGTATTATTCAGGCTTTAAAAGCTATCGCAAAATCGCAACATTTGTCACGTTTCGTAAACCAAATTTGAATCAGATATGATGTCGCGAAGGTCGTACGGAATCCATATATATATATTTTATGACAGAATTGTGGAAAAAAAATTTTTCCATTCCAATATAATGCAGTAAATTGATAGCAAAAATAAAAACATATACTTACATTAGAAGAAGCAGCAATTCCATCCAAGTTTCCAAAAGAGACGAATGCTGAGAAATCTGAAACAGAAATTTTAATATTAAAATCATATTTTTTTAATTAAAACTATTTTTAAAAATAATCTACTCGTTTATTCGTTTAAAAAATCGAAAAATTAGTACATAATTCAGAAGCTTTCACTTTTAGAATTTTTGTGATATATATATATATATAAAAGAAACTTCATTCAGTACGTGAGCAATCAACGAAATGCATTTTTGATGAGTATTATAAGGTAAAAGAATGATGGTTGAAACAAACTGCCAATTAAGAAACAAAATGAAACTTGTATTGAAGGAACAAGAAGGCGGACAGATTTGAACACTTCAAAAACCAGAAGAAAACAATAAAGTAACAAAATGTCAAGTAGTAAATGAAGTCTGAACTTGGCAACAATGGGACATTATAACATAATGTTATTTGGACATAATTACCTTATAGCCACAAAAAATAGCGTGGGTGAAAATATGTATATCATTATAGTTATCGTCAGTAACGGTTTAATATTAATCTCTCAGAATAAATATAATTTATTATTGTCCCCGCAAGAATCAATTTTCCCTCTCATCTGATTTAAGATCTATATATTAGCCAAACAGGTTTTATTGATTTACTTAAAACCTGATTTCTATTTTGACTGCTTTGTATAGTATAAATAAATCAGAAACATGAAGTAAAAAAAGAAATTTATTTGATAAACTATGTTAAATTTTGAAATGTATACCATTTTGAACTGTTTTTTTTTTTTGTAATTTACAAAACTAAATAACAAAGATTTTAAAATAATATAAAAATCATACCAGCACGTATAGGAAACGTACTGAAAAATCCAGCAGACGTTCCATCACGTGCATGAGAAACGAATTATTGTTATTAGGCCAATATGTATCGCGCCCATGCACCAAGAAAATATATTGTACAAGCTTTAATACCCAATTGGTCTCAATAAATACAATAAAACAAAAGACACAAATTATAGAGTCAATGCCAGTGAATTTTCTCTGGCTGAGTGCGCGACTTTTGGTCTTCTTGATTGAGATGAGCCTTCAAATAATGATTTAGTTCCTCGAACTATATGGGTGGGAGTATAGTTCCTCGAAATAAAAAATTTAAACTCTTATAATTTTTTTTTCTGGTATTTTTGAAATTTTACCTACTATTTTCTGTTTTTTTTCCAATTTGAAATAAAAAAGTTTTTTTTTTTTTTTAATTTTACTATACTAATATTCACAAAACAAACAAGGTTACAAAACTTTCTCTAAATAACGCCTATAAACGTGAGAACTATCTGTTCGAGAGTTATAACGATCTCTTTTAAGCTACAATTATTATTTCCTTCATATAATTTTAAAACAAGCTCTGTGTGCAAATCTTAATTCTTAATGCTGTTGGTAGCTATAATATACTCATCTTTGTATAAACACATATTTCTCAACATGTAATAAATTATATATAATAATATTGTTGCAGAGTGACATTTTAATATATAATTAAGAAATTGTTTCAAGCTAACTCAAAGAAAGGTCATACAGATTATAAAAGTCACTTTTAGTTTTAATTTATAAAAATGTGACACACAAATATATATATTGATACTCTAAAAACTGTTTCCTTATAAAGAATACTTTAGGTGATGCAGCATAATATGAAAATTGGTTCAAAAGTGCTTAGTAAGAAAAATTAATTTAACATAAATATTCTCATATTCTAAGATGAGAATATTTACAACTCACAAACGAGTAACACTTTTTTTTTTAAATTAAAAAACGTAATTTTCATCTTACAATTCTTTTCCCGATGCATCTTGAAAAAAAAGTTGTAACTTTTATTTAAAAAAGGTTCTTTAAACTCTTAATTACAATAGCTGGTTTTCTGATATATATAGAGAGAGAAAGAAACAGTAATAAGAGCACCCACGCCTTAAGATAATACAACGCAAGTTTCAATATAAAAATTCAGGACGCGCCTCTTCCTACACGCGGCGAACGGGACTCTTCCCAAATTTTGGTACTCTCAAAGATAATCGTAAATTATTTATTCATGAACTTTAATGCCAAAAAATAAAAAAAACAAGAATTTTCTGATTGGTAAAATCTATAATTTCGCGCTCATTGAAATATACATACAGAGTAATTAAAAGTTAATTAACTGCGTATGAAATTACCTTGTGTGGTTTATTATATTTAACGAGTTATATATATGACGTAACACTATATAATATCATTGATTTTTTTCAATTGCAATAAATTTAAATTTAATTACCTTAAAAAAATAAACGCTACTTTCCCCATTTGCATATTACTGTTTTGTAACTTTTACTTGCTATATATATATAAATATAAGAAAAATTAGACTCTCGAAACTTTCAATACCAAACTGCATTTGATTAAAACATTATTATTCTGACATGAATAATTGGTACCATTAAGTCCAAATAACAACTCATTTAATATAACTAAGAACTATCTTTACAATTTTTATATATGCATTTACTTTCTTTACTAATCAACAATAACGGAAACAAAAAGTTCAAAAAAAAAAAAAAAATTAATTATATCTGAAAGTCAATTTAAAATACAAAAATTTTAAAATTGAAAACAATTTAATGTAAATGATTGTGACAAGTATCGCAGCGCCTCCAATTATTCAAAATCTTTTATTATAATTTGTTTTTCTTCAAATTCGAATTATAATATATGAAAGTTAAGAGAGAAAATATTGAAAAGTTATTTTATTATAAAAAAATGTATTATTAAACAAAAAATATATTTTCTTTCTCATATTTGTATTATATACTTCCGTTAACATATTTTATCCCTCATTTCAAGGTCATTACTTTTCGAGAAGACGTTTAAAGATTCTTCATGACAGTTACAGATGAAACTTTCGTTATATCGATCGCCGATCGAAACCATGTGAATCGATCACTTCCGTTCGATTAACCCGTTCTAAGGCGATGATCCTCCTCCTTTTCCTTTGCGCGAAACAACAAGAAGCAAAAACTTCAAGTCAATATCTTAATATACCGCGTGCAAAAAATGTTTCTCGGTCCATAACGAAATCAACAAAAAAAAAAACTATCGAAAATTAAAGCCAAAAATTTATAGAATCGTCAATGATTAAACAAATTTATATTTGATGTAAATTATATAGAAAATATATGATTATTCGAATCAAAGGGGTATATTATGTTTTCTCAGGTATAGAGTTGTAAAATTTTTTTAAATATAAATAAACACATGTTTGAGATAATGTAATCACAAATCATTGCTAATTTCATTTATTTTATTAACTTGGAACTATTATGTAATTTATATAATTATTATTATTATTATTATTTTTTTTTTTTTTTTGCAAAATATTACGTATGTGATGACGTGCGCGCGATATTATACGAATCAATGCAATCATTGTCATGAGCTACTGACAGCCATAATCCAGCTCATTTACTTCAGTGATTTTTTTTCCACTTCGAGACACTTTCTCTATTCAGCATGCGTGAACGCGCAAATCATTACATTATAGTACTACACGCGGTCCCTCTGCTTTGAATCTACCGCCTTCAAGAATACAGAATTCAGAGCCCTTTTTTTTAAAAAAAAAAAAAGAAAAGAAAAAAAAAGAAATTAAAAAGACGCGTTTATCTTGACGCAATCGGAGACGAATTTTCGTTAATTTTTTTTTCCACGACAGTATAGAATTTTTAGCGGTTAAAAACAATTTGTTTATTATTTAAATAAAAAAAAAACACTAATTAACAATTTCTAATTTAGGTAAATTATTTTTACATATCAAAATATTGATTTACTTTTTATTTACGTATCTCTAATTAAATTCTTAAAACTTTCTGTCAAGACAGTGACGTTTATATAGTTATTCATTATCCCGTCTGATTCATTTAATTATAGATCTTGAAAACAATTCTCCTAACAGACATCCTATATATATATATCCGTTCATGCGTATTATTTTTGTTTTTCAATTTTCAATTTTTCAGTTGTCAAGACTGAAAGTAAGTATTGTCCAGAGGGTAAAAAAGTTATCATGAAAAATGGAAGCAAACGCCAAGTAAATGTTTTTTTTTTTTTGTTTTTGTATATTATAATTTTCTTTGGTGTGATCGAAGGAGGTGTGCCTTTAATTTCCCTTGAAATCCATTATACACGAGAGAAGGATAGATTAAAGAAAAAAAGAGAGAGAGAGAGAGGCAGAAAAAGATATATAAAATAGGCGTCGATGACTGGCGCCATATAGTAATAATAATTTCATACTAGTCAATTACAAATTGTGTACAACCCCCTAATACTCATGATACGCACCATGATCACGTGCCCTCGACACTTATTACATGTTTAGTATGAAGGAAGCATTTATAAAGAGATCGGTAACATATATATAACTATGGCCTCAATAAACCTATTTTCCATTGCATTTAATAAATTAATGATGCACATCAAGATTTAATTTTGTCTTCAATTAAAAAAGAGAAAATAATAATTGTTACAATTTTTCTTAAATAAATAAAGTTTTTTGTAACTTTGATACTATATATTAAAACGAAAATCGATTCGATTGAAGAAAATATCGATTATGAATGAGTAGAAACAGGTAGAAAATTTATTACCCAGTGTATTGTTTTCTATATATATATATATATATAAAAGAGAAATAAAAAATACATGAGAGATTGGCGCCAAAGAGTCCCTGCAGGCGAAGTCTTGAAAGGTTAGTGACCTTGGTGGATATGGAAAAGGATGACAACCAACTATAAAGAAAGAATGCGCGCATCCATCTTCAATTTACTTTTTAGAAATATTATCGGTCAATTTTACTGATCGTCATGACCGCGGTCAAAGTTATTGAGAAGGAGGAAAAAAAAAATATCTTCGTTTATTTCAAACACTTCGTGACAGAGCTCAAGAGCATTTTGCCTACCATAGAAAAGCCTAAAGATTTAGATCTAGATCAGCCCTGGGACATTGCACGAACAAATGATTAATAGAGTTGAACCATAAAATCTAAGTTGTCAAAGTCACTGACTCGTGTACAGTATAATATCATTTATTAATAATTTCGCTCAGAGAGGGTAACACCTCTCGAGATAGAGATCGACATTTTAACCATGATATTGATATGTTTTGATAAACAAAATTATGAAATTTAATATTGTACATTATAGAAAATTAATATTTAATAAAACTCCCTGGTACTGTAAATCTGAATCAATGATCAGATTATTTGAAATAAAAAATTAAAGCGGGGTGTGTATTCATTATACGGACGGAGAATTTTGATCGTGACTGACTCCCCTAGACCTCGGAGTAAGATGTTGTCACGTCAAAAAATACAACTAAATTTTTTGTAATAAAATTTTTCCAATAAATTAAAATATTTACCTTATAATGACGAATTTTCAGCTTCAATGAGATGCTTGCAAACTAAATAGACCTCGGGGATCCCTACTTTCAAGTTAAATTTCCATTCGGAAAATGTGAAAAATAACCGTAAAAATAGACCGAGTTCTAAAAAGTCGACAACTGGAGAATTCGGTGTCCTTCAACTCTTTTTTACTTTCGCCCTTATCTTTGAAGTACGTGACAGCACAAGCCATCGAGGATAGAATCTGCAAAAAGAAAAATTAAAATTCATTGAGTTTTAATTAGAATTGAATTGAAATAATTTTTTTAGCATCAAACTTTAATAATAATTTATAAAGAAATGAAAGTGAAAATTACAAAAAAATTATACAATATAAATACAGTGAAAGTAATTTACAATGTTTTATGTGATTTACAATATTGCTCTCCAATGACTTTGAGTATAACAAGTCGATATAATTTTTTCTATCTTTATGCCTGACGGCTAACATGTTATTAAACACGGTATTTGCAGGGGCATTTGATATTGTAATATTATTATTGCTTCACGTACATTGACTTATATGTCCGAATCAAGTTGTTTACACCAAAGAATTAATTTTAAAATAAATTGTCATAAAATAAATTTATTTTTAAAAAAAATTTCCCCAACTTTACCAATTATTTATATTTTAAACGCATAATCAACAAAATTTCAAATTTCTTTGATTAAAATAAGAAACGGTTTTCTGGGTTTTTTTTATATGTACAATTTTTAAGACAAAATCCGTTATATATGTTAAAGAGATTATATATGATTCGCAATCCGGTAGCTTCTGGTTTTTGATATGATACCATGAGCAGATGTCATACTACCTGTATATTGGAATATGAATCAGTATAATTAAACTCACTCTCTTTTCATCTCGTTGCATATCTGATTCGAAATCGATAAAAAAAAAAGCTATGTACATCTCAATCAGAATTTTTCTCATCTCATCTCTTCCATAACGTTTCCCTTAATTTCCATTCGGTCCATTACATTTAATTGCCGACTGTTTCAGTCACTCGATCAATTTTAAACGAACAGAACATTATCTGACGAAGTGCATAAATGTCAGCATATAATGTGTTGATTCTAAACATATATATATAAGTGATCGCACATATCTTATAGTTTATATATATATTTAATAATCTTCGATTTAGTATTAAATTCCGAATTTAATACTATACTATAAAAAATCCTAAGATAGGAATTCGTATTGTTTTTAACTAAAGAAATTTCTACATAGTAGCAATAATTATTTCCCTTAAAGGTATTTTTACAACAACAATTTGTTAAGGCCTAACCATAATAGAGAAGAATCTTTAATACAAAAATAATTAAAGTTGTGAAACTCAATCTTTGTTTAATAAATTATTGTATAAAACTATTTATTCTGTCACACATTGGAATGACTATTGTAGCTCTGTCTCGATTAAAAAAAAGAGAAGAATTTTAATTAATAATACAATTCTAAAAAACTTAACTTTTTCTCTGATGCAATTGAAAGTGAAATATATAAAGTTTCTAAAAAGAGATTTTTCACGATGAAGACAATGATATTGAAAATTACATCAAATTGGGTAATTGAAAAAATAGAACTAAAATCTAACAAATATTTGCTTATCAAATAAATATTTATTTGATAATAGTCAACGTCAAGTAACAATTTATTTGAATTAAATAAATTTTTCCATACACAAAAGATACGGTAAAGACTACTGGCTATATTTATATGTAAATATCCGCCATTTAGGTGACATTTTCTTCCCTCGCAAGCTACATAGCAGATTAAATTTGTATTTCTAAAACCATTTTTAGAATTAATATTTTTATAACTCAAAGATAATAATGATGACAATGATAAAATATTTAATTTCTGATTGTCTTGTCAAAAATTGAAAAAAAAGTCCCTTAAAAGTGTTATAATGCCACTGATCGTCATTTGCCGTCAATATTATATATGCTTGACATATTTCGCGCAAACCGTCCTGGAATGCGCGAGGCTCGAGTTTCAACCACAGCAGAATAAGCACGATAAAAATATCTCGTGTTATTAAAACCAGTTAGCCATCAAGTTCCTACTTATCCTCTCATTTCTGTCCTATAATTGGGATAATTAAAGGCGAATTTACTTTTCCGCAAAATATAATCGATAACAATTCGTATAGAGGTGTAAAAAATTAGAAAAAGAGAAACATTTTTTAAAAATGTATTGACGGAATACACTTTTGAACGAAATCGAAATCATTTCGACGGAAACAATAAAAATGTTGTTAATTTATAACGTTATTATAAATTAAATAGAAATCACGTATTTTCTTATATATAAAATAAGAAAAAAAAATTATCTCAAAAAAAATTTTGGAATGAAACATTTTTTAAATTTTATAATGCAAAAATAATTGCTTCATTATTGATATGTATTATTATTATACATCATTTTACAATATAGATAAAAAAAATGTATCTGTAACGTATTGGAATAATTTAATTTTTATTATTTCAGTAACAAAATTTTTATAAATTATTATTTTGCAAAAAAACAAAATATTTGTGAATAATTTATCTACTTCATTATTAGTTTAATTAAAAATGTTAATTCAAAATTAATTCAAACTTTTCTGTTAAAGAAATTACATTCATTTTTGATACTCAAAGCGACATCTGTCGATTACTGAGAATAGTAACTAATCGTATAGTAATGTCGGAAACGCGGAAATCATCATTATATTATGTCGATAAAAACGATCACTTTAAACCATTTTTATGATATTATTAAATATTAATTTTTTATAAATAAAAAATATATTAATTATTTATTCATTAATTATAAACATAATATAATTTCAAATATCAATTAAGTATTAATTCCTTTAATATACTGAGAAAGAATTTATTTGAATAATGTAAAATAATCACTTTTAATTTGACTATTATTAAATAAATATTTATTTCAAGCAAATAATTTTTATTTGATTAATCTATTTTTAAATTATTTCTGTATTTAAAATAAATACTATAATTCAATAATTTCTTGATACAAAATAAATATTTATTTATTAATAATGAATTAACCGATTATTTGAATCAAATAATTTTTTTTCAGTTACAATTATAATAATTATTCACAACAATTTTGTTTTTTATCAAAATAATCAAATATTCTTGCAAACATATAGAACATCTCTATTTACAAATATTAATCGAACTTAAATTATATTAATACATTAATAGTAATAAATAATAAAAATATATTTAAATAAATAATAATAAATAAATGTTTAATAAATTATATAATTAAAAAAAATAATCGAACGAGAGAGGAAAATGTTGATAATCATTATGGGATTAGTGATTAAAATTGAAATAAAATAAATATTATATATTTTCAGCGCTTCTTTCGTATATTATTTAGAAAATTTTTTGACATAGGCTTAATAAAGATTAAAGGATTTAACAGTTGCATGTTTTCATAAATTCTAATATATGGTGTATAGTATATAGTATATTATAATAAATTATAAATCAATCAGGGTTCCATTTAAATATACCTTAATATTTATATAAAAGATGTGAAAAGTAACTCGCCGCTAGTAGTATAACTATATATTATAATAATAATAATAATAATAAAATATTAATGTGGTTTTATTAAACGGAAGAAATTTATAATTATAAAAAATTCTTTGATTTTGCGTTGTTATATATAAATAATTATAATTAACTTGTTATTCAAATATAGTAGAATATTTGTTAACAATCTATAATTTCTTTTCGATGTAGATATTTATCTAATATACAATGTATACTTATTTATTATGAACATATATACTTATTTGAAATATATACTGAAAATCAAGAAATCTAGATGGAATATAATAGAAAAACTATTTTCTTGTCAGTCTTATCAACGTATTTTTTATATTTAATAATAATATAAACAACGTGGGAAAAATATATTGATAGCTAAATACTTTTTTGTATTAAATTATAAATAGTTTAGAATCTCAAAACATCTATTGTTGTTTAATATAATATCAAAATTTTTAAACTTAAAAAAAAATTATCTGACTTTCGAAGTATTTAAATAAATTATTGCATTGTTTATAAAGATATGTTTATACGAAACATTCAAGCAAATTAACGGAAGAATGAACCATTTTTAATATTACTATATTTTTTTTTAATATATTCGCGTAATATAATATATTTGATAAGCTGACCAACAATTGAAATATTATATTTTATATATATATATTTACATTTTAGTTAAAATTTCACATCAATTGTCAGTTACATAAAAGTTGTATTTCTAATTAAGCAAAATATTTTTTGTCAGTAAGACAATTCAACATACATGAAATTTTTTTTTATTAAATATTAAATTTCTATGTTTTTTTAATGATTGCCTATTTTCATTGTAAATGGTTTACATTCACAAATTTTTATTAAATTACATTACGAATTTATTTTATATACAGAAATTCAAAGCCAGTATTATTATTAGAATATTTCATGAAAAAGACGAATTATCGGAATATATATATATATATATTTTTTTTTAGAGAATTACACATATAATTCTCAAATCTTTTAAAATTCTAGATTAAAAATGTGTAGAATATATTTTCAAGGTGATCTAAAAATATATTTATCTTAATTTGAGCTTTCATTCAATTTCTGTTCTAATATATAGGCAGTTAATCCTTCCGTTAATATAACTTTCAACAACGTTTCTTTTTTCCCGTTCTTTAAAAAAATGGATCACACAAACCCTTCAGCTACAAAAAAAATTGTAAACAAGGTTCAAAAATATTTTACGTTATTTTTAAATCTAAAATATATTGAAATCCACTTGAAATAAAAAAATTATTTTAAATTAATAAATTATATTAATAATAAATATTGCATTATGAATTACACGTTATTTAAAATACATTTGTACACAATTTTTCCCAGAAAAATATTTTATTGGTAGAAAAAAAAATCTATAAAATTAAAATGCAAAATAATAAATAAATTATAGTATTACCAAATAGATATAATTTTTCTAGTATATAAAATTGTATATAAAAAATGTATATATCCTTATATTACGCATATTTATTTATAGGTGGAAAGTTAATGCGATCCATTTCCTGAGAAAGTCTTTGAAAATAATGTTTTTTTTTTTTATTTTTTTCTTTCTCCTAAACTACTATCGTTGAATATTTGTCTCGTTCCATATAGGCATAGTGTCAGTTGATGTGAATTCAAATGTAGGAACCGATGCTGAACCGTGAACAAATGCATAAGATTCGAGAAAATGAAATTCCGTAAAATAAACAACTACAAGAACAACAATATATCCAAGCCATCTTAATGTTCTCATATATTCCCAAAGTCTATCTAAAAACATTGCTAAAAGCATACAATCAACGGCAATGTGGAAATTGACAAGCTTCCAAGCAATGGACATTGCCCAAAATGAACTTGATTGCATTACTTTTGCTTGTCTAAAAAGTAATTCATCTTTTGTTATGGAAGACGAGCTGGTATCGGTTTCCAATAAATCTTGATAAAGTGAAATATAACGATTCCATCCGACACTACTGACCAGTAAATAACCAACAAATAGTATTACTGTTCCAATAACATTTCTAGAGCGTCGTCTCTTATAAATAGTTTCAGGATCAACATCACGACTTTCCACAAATGGTATCACATTATTAAGTTTCTCATATCCCCGTCCAGGTGGATTTTTTTGAAAATAGCAAAATATTCCAATCATCAATGCTATACAGCCAAGTGCATCACAAATTCCATCGACGAAATATCCAACTGAACCAACATCAGAATGTTCACCGTCAATGTGTTTTCTTTTTCTAGCTACATGTCCATCTAAATCATCTAACCATGTTCTAATTTCAAAAAGTAATACAGCAAGACGCCGTTGAGAAAGTGAATCACTTGAGGCACATTTTCCCGCCGCTATTGCTACTAATACATGAAATCCACTAATTAAATTTGGTGAAATCCATTTACAGTCACTTATTCCAAAAGCTTGATTTACAATTGCAGCTAGTGGACCAAGTAGATAATAATTTGGATGATCCAACATTAGGCCTTTGACAGTTACCACGCAAAGAGGATCAAATGAACATGGAATTATTCCTTCATATTGAGGCTTATTATCATTTGGTTTAATCGAGTATTTATGTACTCGTGAATATAACAGTGTATCCATGAATATAAAATAAAGCAATAAAATTGCCACAACTGAGAATGTAACTCGATGAAATACGGAAGTCAAGAGAAACATTTTTAAATATTACTTCACAAAAATTTTTCTAAAATATTTTCACTTTATATATTGTGGAAGTTTTATGACTATTGTTTTCTTTTTTTTCAACAGTTGTTTTTAAAATTTTACAAAAATTCTTTCAATATTTTCTTGTTTTTTCTACTAAAATCTTCTAAATGATGACAAAAATATATTTCTATTTCATTTATAATAGATGTTAAAATATTAATTTTTCAATTTTATTCTTCATTTAAATGATGAGTCAAGAATTTCCATTTTTAAAAAAGTAGCTTCTTTAGCTACACACATTTGGCACTTATTTACGTTGCATCATGTTTGTTTTTATTAATATATTTAATTCTTATTACATTGCCTCTTGGAGTTTAAATTTGATAATTTTTGAAGCAATTAAAGAACTCTTTCAATATCTGCAAATAAAACAAAATTTAATTTATATCATACACTCATCATCATCATCTAATTTTAAATATATGTAATCATAGATTAGTTCACCTTGATAATAAAAGGACTTTTTATTTCGCGTATTAAAGCTAAATTATAATCAATGATAATAATAATTTTTCAAGAAAAAAAGTCATTAATTCTTCAATAGTAAATTATCTGCACTAAAAAATGATAATACAGACGAACAATGATTGTCTAAATTATATGACTACGTTATCGTATAGGAAGAATGATTACGACAATTGCTACAATATCAGGCTTCAATATATATTGCAATTTTTAAGCTTTTAACAATATTCAAAATAAATTTAAAATTTTTCGATTCTTTTAAAATAATAAATTAAATTATATATCAATTAATTAAAATTAATTTCAGATATTACTTAATATGAACTTTGATCATTAATCCACAAAGTGTATATTTAAAAAAAAATGTAATTCACTTAATGTTTTATCTATACCTATATTAAGATAATTACAATAAAAATTAAACTAATAAAGTTTATTAGCGTGGAAATAAAGCAAAAATTATGAAGTTCACCACCAGATGGAACATGAATTCAACGCAAATTTGTAAATATAAACAAGATTTTACTGTCAATTATAAATAAATATCTTTCAATTACTCCTTTTATTACCAATTTGTTATCTACCTTATTATAACATTAAAATTTGTTTCACTAATGACAATTAAAACATATGGCATTAAAAAAAATTATATATATATACTATATACATATATACACTCATATATTATAAATGAAACATAAATTACTTGCCTTAATGTTATCATGAAAGTAACTGTCAAAAATAACGCTTATCCACGAATTCATAAGGATTTATGAAAAAAGTAGAAATTGATCCTTTTTTGATTTTCCTTCAGACTCCGAAATATTTCAATAACCGGTTATTCTTCTCAAATGCCAAGGCAATGTTCTCTTGAATAACACAAACTCAATAAAAACTTTATCTTCACTAACTTCATCACTCAACGTCAAAATGGGTGTTATATAGTCAATTGAATTGACTTTAATATTTGTAGCCTTGAAACATGTGTAGAATAAATTTTGTTCGCAAAATCTTTAGAAGTAGGTAACCGCACCAAGCTGACAGAAAACTATTTGCAACGATTGTGTTGTACACTCCAGCTGAGCTGTACCTATGTTAATGCGCTTACGCTCAACACTGGGAACACTATAGAAAAGTAAGGGAAGTTGCACTAACAACTGATGGTAACAATGGCAACTGTCCTGATGTAATATTAAAAATCATGGCCTATATCACATTTAAATATTGCATTTATTTATTTTTAAACCTGACTAACAGTTAGATAAATATCCAAAGACATGATTATTTTTAACGTTAAAATAAGGATGCTACAAATTTGTAACTCACATCATCTGAGTCAAACGTTAAACTCTGATTGGTAGGGAAGAATCATCTGACTATATATGATGATTTGAATGTTTTGATTAATCAACTTTAATGAAAAAAAAGTATATGTTTTATATGGCTTTTAATTGAAAATAATTTATAGATTATATTTCTAAAAAAATATATAATAATAAAATATTATACAGATATATATTAAAATATATACCTATTATATACAAATTAGAATAATTATTATATATAATTATTCATACACTTTCCTCTCTCCAAGAAAATTATACAACTTTTTTTTTTGAAAGAATAACATCAAAACCCTTTAATATTCATTAATTTTTTAACTTAAAATTATTTCATATAACAAAAATAGTTTTATATTTCCTTATTCAAATTAAATAAAATTCTTTATGTTTATACTATATGTTTGCAAGAATCCATATTATATTTAATTAAACCGATTTTATTGAAATGTAATGGACTGACTCACAAATTAGTTCCTTACTATAAAAAATTATCAGTAAATCTAACTAATAATTATATATTAAGAAATTTTCTAATTATGAGTAAATTAGAAATCCATTATAAATGCAATAAATTAGTACACGTTTTAATTAATTTTTAAATATACCAATTTTCAATTATATAGTTATAACTATAAAACAATAATTAATATATTTGTCGTAAATAAAATAATTTTATACTAATAGCTGTAAATGTATATAAAATATGAATAATAAATTATGCTGAAAAAATTAAAAAAAATATCGACTCACCAATTTTTTGTAGTTTTACAGAGCTGAATAAAACGGAAATCTTTCTTGTTTTATCTCCAAGTTCATTATTTCATTCTTCTTATTGCACACAACACTCGCGACCTATAAATTTATTTACTCAATTATTTGATGCTAATTTCAATATTGATTAACAAAATTACTATGATTTTCTCATGAAATTCGGATTGCGAATTTTGGCGGTTTACGCCATAACCTAAAAATTGACTCGTTTTTCGAAGTTTAATATCAGGCGTAATTAACGACGTCCATTATCACAAATAGTCATGCTTATTACTTTATGCGTATAAAACGATATTTTACTTTTGTTAAGAATAATCATTTCCTAATATCACGATATTTATCTACACAATTTAGACACTAATGACGCCGACAAACTTTCAACAATAAATTAATAGGTAACCGGTAACATGAAGACTCGACCTTTTGATGCTAGAGGCGCTGCTATCGCTACTACCATAGTCAAAATAACACTTTAATTAGTGACTATTTTAATTAAAAGTATTTAATTAAATTATTATGCATAAATATAATTATAGTAGTAATAAAATAATTAAAAATAAAATATATTATAATTGTAATTATTATAAGTATACCTACATTAAAATAAATGAATAAATTAATTGAACATGTATACATATAGGAGCACCGTAATAAATTCCTATTAAAAAAATATTGTTTTTTGTTTCAAATTTTAATATAATATTTTAATAATAATAGATATTAATAATTTATGAAATTCGGATTGCGATTTGTGGTGATTTGCGCCATAACCTACAACTTGACTCGTTTTTCTAAGTTTAATGTCAGACATAATTAACGACATACACTATCAAAAATATTCATGCTTATTACGTTATGCATATAAAACGATATTTTACTTTTATTAAGAAAAATCATTTTCTAAAATCACGATATTTACCTGTACAATTTGGACACTAATGACGCCGACAAACTTTCAACAATTAATGCGAGTAACATGAAGACTTGATCTTTTGATGCTAGAGGCGCTGCTATCGCTACTATCAGAGTCAAAATAGCTATTTAATATGTTACTATTTTGATTAAAAAATATCTAATTAAATTATTATTAATAAATGTAATAATAGTAGTAAAAAAATAATTATTAATATAATATATTATAATTATAATTATTGTAATGATATATCAAAATAAATGAATTAATTAATTGTACATACATACATATATGAGCAGCGTAGTGAGTTCCTTTTAAAAAGATAATTTTTAAATTCAAACGTTTTCTTTTTAATTAAAAACAATGAAATTAAAAAATATTGAAATAAACAATAGAACATTATTTCCGATGAATGAATATTTTTTAATTTATCGTTAAAAGCTACATAATTATATCATATTAATTTACTTTTAATTATAATTTCATAGTTTAATTATTTATGTTATCTAATTAAAAAAGAAAGCTCATTATTAATGTATATAATCACAATCTTTTGATTTATTGTAATTACACTGTTAAAATCAATATACAAAAGAGTGGCACAATTAATTATGAGTAAAATAAGATCTGATTTAATACGTATAATTAATAAATTGAATTTGATAAATTATTTAAAAATTAAAGAGATTATTTTATTTTTATTCCGACAATTCAATTTATATCAGATTTTCGATTGTTTATTTTTTATTTTTTTTTTAACAGTCGGTAACTTTATATGTGTCAGTAATTAAACTGTACAATTTTTATTAAATTGTAAAGAGCTAATATTATTTGCTGTACAATCAGAGGCACTAACTATATAAATTTATAGACTCTTTAAACTTATTTTAATTTTTTGTATACATACAATTTGCATTAATGAATAAAAAAAAACGCATAAAATTAATCTATTTTTTACGTTTGTGCGTGAATGATAAAATGTACATGTAGTATCGTTATAAAAATATAAATCGACGATAGTATAAAACACTAAATTAAATTTGAACAATCTACATATTATAAGTTTTGTTTTGGACGGCTTTCTTGATATTAGTTGAAGGAGCTATATTAGAATATAGTGTCAGATCATTTAATTGACATTTGTACTATATTTTATAATTAAAATTTATTATTAAAAAAAAACTTTCAAGATCATATAAAAATCTTTGAAGTTCTTAAAAAACTACTTAATATTTCCTTAAGTTTAATGGCGAGTATGTATAAACAAATCAATTTTATAAAAAAAGCTCCTTGAACGTATTTTAATGAAGAATAATAATTATTGATTCACATGACTTGTAATTTAAGTTTGGACGGATATTTTCTTTTTAAAATATTCTTTTGGTACTTAAAATATTTAAGTTACAGTTTTGATCAATTACTTTCTAAGTTTAAAATTTTTGACGCAATACTAATAGCAAAATTTAACATAGTTGAGTAATTTTTACTCAATTTTATAAAATACAAATTATTGTAAAAACCATTTAGCTTTGGTTTGTTTATGTGTAAAGTTGTTAAAGTTTCATAAAAATTATTTAAAAAGAGTTTGTATAAATAACTCCTTTACATACATATTATTAATGACGTGGATTTGTATAAAAACGATCGTAAACTATTTTTTTTAAGCGCAATAATGAGAAGATCTTAAAATATTACAATTTATTTCGACGGGACAACGCCGAGATTAGTGACTTATTGTCTTGGACGGTATCAGATAAAATGACTTTCTGTGTTAAGTCTATTAACAAAAAATCTTTGTTTTACATTCAATTCTCCCTTTTTAGAAGTCAATTTATAAATAGATCTTATAATCATGAATATATTTTTAAAAATTAAGATCCAAATTTTAAGGCACAATTTGACCATATTTTTACGGACAAGACTTTTTTCATCGATAAAATAATATTAGAATTTAACAACAAAATAATCAAATTATTTTTTTATACTCTCTTTTTAATAAGGCATGAATGGTTGGAAGATAAAATCAATGTTAAAAATCATATTTTCATTATTATTATTAATTAATTGCATTATATGGAAAAATATATATGTATACATATTTTGCAATGTATATCACATTCTCTCTTTCCTATTTTTTATAATCTCTTGATTATAATAATCCTCAACATGACACATTCATATACATTTAATAGAATTTAAAATTTTAATATTATTGAATTCAAGTCTTCATTATATTCAATTTAACAAAATATAATTTTGTAATTTATAACAGACCTTAGAGCCTTTTAAAGGCTTTAATTTTGCACTTAATAAAAAAGGTGAAAAAAGAGATTTCTAATAATTTGTGTAAATGTTGTCGAATCATCGCTTTTTTCCTAGTCTTTGTATTACGATTTTATGAAACATCGTATGATTTTAGTTTTTACTTATGATTGCGTTTATAATTATCGCAAATTTCGTGTTTTTGCGAAATTTAATATGACAGTCTCCTATATAATTTAGAATGACTTTAACTTACGCTAAATTCTTGGGTTCTAAAATACCTCGTCAGAATGACAACGAGAGATGCACACAATGTGAAGAAACTTGGTGATGTTATTATTGTTGCAATGTTGTAAATTGGACAGTATGGACATTGTGAACTACCACAAACTTCGCAAATATTGAGAAGATAGGTAGGCAATGAATCAAACATTGTCTCGTTAAAACGTTCTGAAATTTAGTAAAATAATTAATTATACAATTCATTTTCAGAAAAAAAATTAAGGTAATAAACTATATATAAATTTTTCACTTACCAGGCGCATAATAATCGTAGACTCTAATTGGAAGATATCGAGACATATTTGCCACTGGGAACCATCTTTCTAAAGTAAATTCAACACAAGTTTCTTCCTCATCGAGATAATCAAAGTAGAAAAGTAATTTTTGGTCCAGGAATCTCGCTCTTTGAAGATTTCGAACTTCTCTCAATCGAACGTATTTATCGAGATTTTGTTGTTGTATAATATATCCAGTTGGAACAGCCACGTCCAAAACTGCCATTCCCGATCTAATCGACTCGTTTATATTTATCCATCTAAAAAAAGATTTATTTAATATTTAGTTTAATTCTTAAATTTTTCTAATTTGGAAATTGATGTTATTTTGAATATAAAATATTATTACCTTTGGCAACTGATGTAACTAATATGAGACTGATTTCTTCCATGAAATTTGGCATTCCAGCGTAAATCGAACGCCCTAACTGGAGGTTGTGTTTGGAATCGAACATTATCAACATTATATTGCACAGTCATTTGCAAGATTGCGTATCCTGCTCCTTGAGCTTGCACCTTAACAGTTCCCCAGGCTTCTGGTATCTAAAAATATTTTATGATTAAGTAAATTTTAAACTAAAAAAATTAATAAAGTACGCTTTTTTTTATCAAGTTGAAAATAGGAAATTAAATTTTTTTTTAAATATAACAAATATTTTACCTCAACTGACTGAAGAGTTGCTAGATTTTTACTGTTAACGTGAAGAGTTTTAGTGACACCTGGCAAGGAAGTTGCCTCAATAGTAACGGACAATTGCGTGACTTCTCTCAGTCTTTGAGTTTGAGTATAATACATCAATGCTTTCATTGCCCAAGCAGTATCCCTCGTTGATGCCCATCCACCGTCTGTTAATCTTTGAGAATTTAACCATCTCACAATTGGCTGAATAAAGAAAATTTGTTGTTTAGCCGTATACAATAATAATGCATACGCCGTGGTTTCAATATTCTCTGAATCATAACGATAAGGCAATCGTGGTAGTAAAAATGGTTTTTGATTTTCAATTTTTGTTGGTGGCTGAGGAACTGCTTCTCTACCCCAATATTTATATTCACCTTCATCTCTCGAGTGTCTATTTAAAATTTCAAATGCCTCATCGTAATTACTAGAACCCTTTTCCTTAAGTGCATAAGCGACAATTGCAATCTCATATGGTTGTCCAAATTCCCTTAAATAAGAAATTTTTGTTTCTAACCATTTAGCAGCATTGTCCGCTGCCAATGCAACTCTCGTTCCAAGTCCACTCGATAAATCTTTAACCGATGCTAATGTTATCAAAACATGTGCAGTAAGTGAAATATTGCGGAATCGATAAAATCCATATTCATCAATAAAAGTTGTATTCATTTTTCTATCGGGCAACCAAGTGACTTCGTAAAATGAGCCCTCATCAGTTTGATGTTGCAATAGCCAAAGTACCGATTTTGCAAGCATATCAGGATCAATGTACAAATAATTTTCATATTCATAATTACTGGCTACTTCTTGAAATACTTGAATAGTATAGGCAGTGAGCCAAACACTTGGTGACGATTGATTCCAATCACTGCGAAATAGACTGAAAGAACCATCGGGATTCATGAAGGAAACTTGCTTCTGATACATAATGTTCATGTAATTGAAACTTTTTTCTTCTTGTGTTCGATTTCTCAAATTAACAGCTCGCATATGAAGTGTCGTATATAAATGAGCGGCAAAATTGAAAATATTTTGCTCACCACAATCCATGGGTAATGATAATAAACTTGTTGCATTGACTGGTATTGTGGGGAAAATTGGACCAACAACATCGCCAACAATGCTGATTCGTGCCTTATTAGAACTGTAGACATAATAACGATCTTCAGAATATGGAATAATTGGAGTCTCTGTAATATTGACGTGCATATATTGAAAAGCATAAGCCCTATTACTAAGATCCAAAAGAACCGATTCATGTCGAAATTGTGGAAGTCCATCAGCTTCAACATGAACAGTTCGTGTGACGGAATCACGTCCAATAAGTGCACTCGCATAAACATGAACTGTAATATCACCAAGTCTCGTTGGTACAATTGGAAGATAAATAATAGCCACATCTTGCGCTTTAATCCAAACGAAAAATTGATGTTCTCCAAATGATGTTCGTGGATTGTAGGATTTAACATATCCATTTTCTTCAACGTGAACAAATTTAAAATCATTTGATCCACTTAAACCAACAGTTGCTTCAATATTATTTTGTAAATAATTAAAAACAGACACACGAACACCAATTTGTTCGCCCTGTTTAATTCTCGTTGGCATTTCAACATTAATGAAAAATGGCAAAATTCCCATATAGTCAATAGCTTTTGGTAGCATTCCAAAACCAACTGTTGGACTTATACTGAAGGCTGTGATCATCCAGTGAACAGGACGACGAGGAACGTCAATGTTGAATATATAACGACCGTGAGGTCCAATATTAATATCTGCCCAAAGCCACATGTTTTCATATTGACGTTGAATCCGATTGAAACGATATTTTCGAAATTCAGAAATATCTGTTATGTTAGAATGAAGACAACGTGCTTCGTCTGTACCATCTTCGCAATCAAAAATACCATCGCATTTCTTTTCTAAACGATAGCAACGACCATTTAGACATTCACCAAAACCAAGTGTTCGATTGCAGACTTCTGGTTTACGATAAATAATAGCATCCGTGAAAACAACGAGACCTTGATATTCAAAAGTTCGATTGACATCAATTCCAAAACTTGATGATGGAAAATAAACTGTCTCATCTGGATCGCCATCGTGGAATAACCAGGTGTGACTGTGTGTACCTGTGAAAAAATTTCTTCTATATTAAATATTCTTCATTTCAATATAAATATAAAATTATAATTAAATTAAAAAATTTCGTTTTGTAGTATATGATAATAAATAAATAAGAAATCACTTTTTTTAAAAATGTAATATTACATTAATAATAATTTTAAAAAACTAAACAATTTTAATTTAATTTTACAAAAATAATAATTGTAGTAATAGAAACAATTTTTGAAAAATTTATTATAATTAATTACGTTTACATTAACTTTTATAATTAAATTTATTTTTTTAATTAATTAAATTACTGATTTAGATTTTATAAAGAACGTTGAGCGATTTTGTTTTGCGATTACATAATTATCTTAAATTAAATTATTTAAAATTAATTAATTTTAGAGTGATCATTTTATATATATTTCAATAATTTTTAGAAACTTATTTGTAATTAAATAAATAAATAAATTAATAAATAATTAGACTGTATTAATAATGGATTTTCATTTTTTTATTATTGGATTTTAAATATTTAATGATAAATATAGGAATTTATTTGCCAATATTATATTTATTAATATAAAAAAGAACCTATATTTATGCCAAATCTAAAAAAACAAGACAAAAATAAATATTAAAGCATTTAATTGAAAACGATTTTTAATTTTATCTTTATCTGCAATTTCAAATTCACCGGGAAAATTTAAATTTGGCGCGAATAATGCAATCGTGTTTTAAAAGGTTATATTGAAATATTTTAGTACACAAATATATTTATCTACATTGAAATTACTTTAAAAATAATTTTACTGTATTTTTATGTATTGAAATTAACAATTAAAAATGTTTAAACTAAAATATTAGAAATTGAATAAAAGAAAGTAATTTGACTAGCGTAGTACGACGAACTAGGTTGGCATCACTGGTTGCCATTGTCAGTTTACCGGTACGATTTTAATGTGTAACGTCGTTCTCTCGTTGTCGCAAATTTTAAAGCAAAAAACGACAAGTTTTAAATAATGACGAGTTTTAATTAGTAAATAATAATGATTAGTTCGTGTGTGCTTATTAATAGAATTGGTGATAGTGCGGAAATTTAAGAAATATGTTCATAAAACGATTCACGAAAAAATTTGTAACCCATTGGCAATGGGTCATTTGAAGACGATACTTGAAATTACCAATTTATCGTGTTTTTCGATCTTTATAATAATATTTTCGGATGATTTTCTATTCAGTCTATGTTTTTAAGTAAAAATCGATGGGAAATGTGTGATATTTAACTAATTGATTCGGGAAATTCGATATTGATAAAATTGGTTAAGAACATTTTTGGCGGTAAATTGTCTTGACTGCGACGCCATCTTTGTTCTTATTGTTTAGTTTGCCGGTTCAGTTTATCATCGCTCTATACTTTTTTCGCGAATTTTACAGTAAATTTAAAGTGTTTTAAGTAATGACCAGTCCTAATCAGTAAATAATACTGATTATTGTGAATCTATTTATTAATGGACTTGTGAGTAATGTAAAAAAAAACTTGTAAAATAAGTTCATAAAAACAATTTCGAAAAGTGTAAGTGTATTCAGTGGTCAACGACAAGTTTTTTAAAAGTGAACACAGAAGTAGAAAAAAAATTATCGAGTGTTTTTGTGTTAAAATAGAAAAAATGTGTGATAAATAAAATATAAAAAAAAATGTGTTGTCTATTTATGGTGATGTGGCTTTTGGATATTTCTTAGAGAACAACTTCCACCTATCAACTGAACGAGATCGGTGAGTGAATTAATATTTTTTAACAAATTTCTACACTAGAATTTAGAATTAATTTTTGTGCTCGTTTTTGGAATTAGTGTTGACTATAAACAATATTATTAACAACTTTTTAAAATATATATTAAATTGAACAATAATAACTCAGAAAAAATTCGTTTTCATTAAATATTATAAAATGAATATTTAGAGATATTATTCAAACACTTACCATTGGTTTCTTCATCGAAATGAGACATTTTTGAAATGACATTGGCGTACGTTAATTCATTACCAGCTTGCATTGTGAAAAATGATCTATCAATTCCAGAGAGACCAACAAAAGCTCCAGGTTCTCCATAAATAGCTACTTCTACATTTTCTCCAGTTCTTGCTTTTCTGTTATTAATGAAAACAGTAAAATTGTTTCGTGAAATTCCATTAACTGGGAATGTTAAAGAATCGGCAATTACTTCTCCATAACGACCAACATAATAAACAACTGCCGTGGCCACTGGAGCCATTTCTGGACTTAAAGGAATAGCAAATGTTCTTATATTATGTTGCATATCGTCTTGTCCACTCAAAAGAATTATACCCTTTGACATGATGATATAATTAAATGTATCAATATAAAAATTTGTCTGCACATGCAATACTAGATATTCTCCCACTTTTGGTTTTTGTGTAGACGTTGAAACTTTAATATTTTTATTATGTGGTGATTCATGAGCCAAAAGAATGAGTTCTGAAGCTGCTGAATGTCCCTCACCGTCAATGAGGGTTGCATAAACTCTCATAGAAGTTACTTCATTAAGAACTTGTTGTGCTCGTTGAGGATTATCACTTAGTCCAAGTTCTTTAGCGAGATCAACTTTTAAAAACCATATCGCTTTATTTTCAGCTGTTGGAGTAATAGTTCTACTATCCAAATTTCTTCGACCTGATCTCATTTCAACATCTGCACGAATATCCAATCTAGCTCCCAATAGTTGACTTGGCCTCAAAGGCGATCCATCATGAAATGATGAGATAAGATTAAGAGAAAATGGCATAGCAGGTTTAAAAACTTGTGGCGAATCACCGGCAAAATGAATTTTTATTGTTGAATTATAAATTCGTGCTTTCGAATAGCCAACTATTATTTCTTCCAAAAATTTTTCTCCTACAGTTGCGGTTATTAATATTTCCATTCCTTCTGAGCTCGAACCATATGAAATCAATTCTCTCAATGGATATTGGAATCTGAAATTTTAATTTTACATTTTCAAATAAATTCCAACTTAAATTGTTAAAAAAAATAAATAAATAAAACTTACCTATAGGTTCCATTAAACAATCGAAGAACAGGAACTCGTTGTCCTCTTTCATCATATGTTTCACGTGGAAGTGTAAACCATGAAGGATAGTATTCTTCAAATTCCATATATCTCTCACGAACATCTTGATATTGTGTTGATGAACTTGTATAATATTTATTAAGATGTCGAATACTTGCTTTTAAAGTTAAATTTCCCCGTACCGGTGCACCGGAAGTATAATTTGCTTGTACTATACCAAAAATATATGGATCAGTATCAAAAAAGAAAGCTGGCATTGTCACATTCACTTCAAATCGTGTCTGATAATATTCTTCGACTGAAAAAACTTTTCTTTCTTCTTGACTTTGTGCAATAACAAGAATAGACCAGTTTCCATAAACGGGTTGATCAGATAATTCATATTTTAAAGAAACAGTTCCTAAATTACTTTGTTTACTGAGCCAGCGACGCATTTTTCTATTATAAGGATCTAATATATGAATTTCAATAGGATCATTGAATGTTTTTAATTCCGTGTTTATTGGTATTGTTCGAAAATGAACCGTTTGTCCTTGCATATAAACTGGTTTATCCGTTTGTATGAATATTGTCATTGATCTTTGAGAGAATACCAATTGAGTTTCATTTATAAATGCCTGTCCACCAGTTAAACTATTATACATTCCGGCAATTCGAAGACGATAATTTCCCACCACTGAACTTGCAGGTACTTGTAATACCAAAGTTTCTGGAATACCTTCTTTTACTTCCGAATGATCTTCCGCTATTTCAACACCATTCATTTGAATTGATGCTTGCACCACCATTGGAAGAGGACTTTGAAGAACATTAACTGCCACTCGATAAAGTTGTCCCGGTCTTACCATTCGAGATGCTACTATGAAATAAGTTCTGTAAAATAAATCCATCTGTTAGATTATTGACAAAATATTTTTATTTTTTTCTAATGAGAAATTAACAAATTTTTTTTACTCACGCTTCTTTAATAATGAAATCTCCTGGCTGTCCAGAACTTTTATAACCTCCATACCCAATATTCGTGTCTTGAATTGAAGGATTTCTAACTCCAGAAAGATGATCTCTATCTTGATTTGTTCTGTAATTTAATCCGGAATTTGCATCGTAGTCTACTGGATTATCTGGTCTGTATTGAAATCCACTATTTGGATCATACTCTGGATTTTCTGGTCTATATCCAAATCCTGAATTTGGATCTCTTTCGTTGAATCTATTCCAAGGTTGTCGAGTTGATAAATCATTTCGATTATATTGATCTGGAGTCCAATCTGAATTTTCCGGCGATTGACATTTTCCAGTTGTTGAAATTACTGCCAACAACAGTATGACCCACATTTTTCCTATATTAAAAAACAAAAATTATTATCAAAACTAGATAATGATAATTACATAAATTAAGTGAATTTACAAAATAATTTTAAATATAATTTATATAGAATAGAGATCATTTTGCTATATTGCAGTTAATGAAATGAGTCACTCTCATTAATTAATTATACATTATAAAACACCTTAAGTAAAAATAAAAAAATATAAATAAGTTCTGAAATTAAATAAAAATAAAATATAATAAATAAAAAATAACTAATTTGTCAACTAATTGTTTACACAAAAGTTGCATTTTATAACAAATATCGGTTTTAGGTTAAATTTACATTTTTTATAAATTATAAATTTAATTATCTCCCATTTTAATTGTTTTCTATTTTTTTTAATATTAATAAACATATTTATAATTACGAAATATTTACAAGTTTTTGAAAAATATGTTCAATTTTTTAAAAAGTTAGTTTAGAACATAAAAAAATATTTAATTCTACTTTAAAAAAATTAAAATATTATTGTTATTTGAAAGTGATCTCACTCGATAAATACCATGCCGTTGACGCCCTTATAGACACCTAATCTGATCTACCGAGCTGGAGAATTGATTCATTTCAATTTTATTTTTATGAATGTAAAACTTACAATTTTTGATAGAATAAGATAAATCACTTTAAAATGAATTTTTCTTTATTTTTCTAATGTTTATTATCAATTAAATAGTAATAAGTTCGCGTCGCGGTAAATGGTCAACGCCCAAAATATCTGTATGTATATTATGCAGACCTACCTACCTGCGCTTGCACGATGGCGTTTCTTCTTCTTTTTATGTGTCACATATATCACAATCTAAATTTTCCACTTGCCTGTCAGAATCACTTTTCTCTAGAATAATATTTTAATTTTCCAATTTAACAATATATTTCATCCGCGAAGCAACTTTGTTCATAATAAAACCGTTTTTCTTAACACTCCAACTTCAACTTAACTATATATTTTATGAGTAACTATACCATTACTATCCTATACACGATGGTACTACTTACACCAGTATATAATGAATGTATGGTATGTGAAACTGTATATGTGTACACTTGACTTGTGATGCAAAGTGTACATTCAGCTACTCCTCCCACACGCCTGCATACATTAGACACTACCGTACTCTTTTATATTGGTGCCCTGGACAAATATATTTTTATTATTACATACTATTAAATATAGGTTCAATAAAGGTACATAATATGAAAATTATTATTTTATATTTAAACTAATAATTTTTTTATATCATGTTCTTTTCAAAATATCCTTTACAATTTTCTCGTGTTTAGTTTTTTTTTCTCATTTTTCAAATAAAAACAGAAAGTTTTTACTTTACGGCACTATATTTTATGACAATCTTCAGAATTTAAATTTTGTAAAAATAAATTTTGCAAGTTTGAAAATTGACTGCGAATTAGTTACGATACTTACATTACTTGCGTATATTTACGTTACGAATTCCGCGATCAAAGTGTTTTTAATTGTTATCACATTGTTTGGGTTGTCACGCAACTGATAACAAGATTTTTGTTTGTTTACATGTAGAATCATGAAAATATTGAAAGACTCTACAATTTACTAAGTACAGGTAAGTATTTAAATACTACTTTTTATGTTTGATGTAAAATAAATTAAATTTTAAGGTTATATTTAAATATGCGGTACTTTTATATTACCGGCTAATACTAATATTTTAAAAACATTTTTTCAACTTAAAAAATAATTATTTTGATTTATGTTAGAAGTTATAAGATAATTAAATATTTTATTTATTTTGCAGAGACTTTTTTTGAACAATGACGGCAGTTCAAAAATCTCGAATAAAAAAAGAATTGGCTCGTTTGTCAGAACATCCTCCAGAAGGTATTTCATGTTATGCAAAAGATGATAAATTGGATTTATTAACGGCTGTTATTATGGGACCTAATGGAACACCTTATGAAGGTGGATTATTTCAATTAGAAGTGAATATATCAGAAAAATATCCATTTGAACCACCACGTATAAAATTTTTAACACCAGTGTATCATCCAAACATAGATTCAACTGGTCTAATATGTATGGATCTTTTAAAAATGCCTCCAAAAGGAGGATGGAATCCTACTATATCTCTAGAAAATTTATTAACGGCCGTACAACTTTTATTGGGAAATCCAAATCCAGATGATCCATTGATGACAGAAATTGCCGATGAATTTAAATACAATAAAATGGAATTTGAAAAAAAGGCAAGAATGTTTATGTTAAGTAATGCAAACAGTAAAAATTCATTGTAATTAAACATTGTATATAAGAGGCAAAAACAGCTTTATATTTTTTTAAGCATTTTACAAATAATAATAATAATATAATATATAAATGTGTTTGTTATATCTATATTTATATCCTAATCTGCAGAGGCCGTTTTACTTCCGTGGTTCATTGTTAAAATTTGTTTTTTATTATCTATAAATTTAACCACCAAAATTTTCAATAAACAATTTAATATAAACGTTCATAATAGGATTTAAACTTGAAAACAAATATACAGTATAAATTTTTATAATTTTTACAACGCATTTGAAAGCTTATAAAATATATATATAAAAAATATTCCTTCTTGGGAATATTATAAACTTTTTTGAAATGATTTTCAATTTGAATTTCCTTTTTAAGCAACAAAATATGAACACACGATATATTTATTTTTAAGCCTTACTTATTCAATAGTGTGTATATATAAATGTATTTAGTACACGAATAAAAAGCTAAGTTTATCACGAATTATCCATCCGTATACTATTTTTTCTTTTCCTTTTTTTTTGTATAACAGATGTGTAAATAATTTTTTTTTTTTTAATTCAACTCACGCCTAAATTATAATATTTGCTACGAAACAATAACAAGTTCAAATTGAGCTACGAAATTATTGAACTTGAACCATTTTTTCCCTTATTGATATTTTCAAATCCCATGTGATTTCTTTTTATTTATTGATTTTAATTTTAATGAAAAAATACCTTATAACATTTTAATAAAATAAAACATCACTTTGGGAAATTTGATATGTAATTTTTATAGCTTCGATTTATATTTTTAAATTATTGATATAATATTGAAGTTCAAATCAATATATCGAGGCTCAATTTTTTAAGAAACCAGAGGCACACATTAAAGGCAGTGAATAGATAATTAGTACAATATACATATAACATTATAGACGATGATTCTATTACATTTTTTTGAGCTTTCTTTTTATGATAGTTTTAGTTACAATGAATTATCACAATACTTTTCACGCACTTAAAAATAGTTTTTCACAAAAAGCACAACTATATATGTAATGAGTTCTTCAAAGCAATATATTCTTATATCTCAATTATTTTCTTATATATTGATCAAAATATAATATAGATATGAATAAAATTATACTTGTTTTAAATTAAAATATCAAAAATTTGAATTATCATTCTAGACTTTTGGAGTTATTGACTCGAAATTGAGAAATAACTTCTCAGATATGGATTCTATTTGACTTTTTTTTTTTTTTTTTTTTTTTTTGTTATAAATTTTCATGACTATCGTTTAAAAACAACAGAAAATGATGAGCAGTAAAAATATTTTACCGCATCACCATGTAAACTCCTTCTTGGGATGTATTTAGTTCTTCAGATTTGTGCGTGATTTTTATGCATGGTGACATTGGAACATAATCAGACGTATCTATTAAATTAGGATTTATTACCTTTATTTCCTCGGGAGTTGGAGTTGTATCCGATTGAGTATTAGGTGTCGCAGATCTTGTTCCTCCTTCCGAATCTAAACCATCATCACTGGGACTAAAATTTGATAAAAAAAAAAAAAAAAATTAAAATTCTATAAATTCGGAAAATTTGAAAATAAAATTATTTATTTCTTAACTAACCTTCCATTCTTTTTGGAATTCGATCCACATTGATGACGTGGTGGTAGTGGCGGTGGTTGAAAATGTAAAATATCAGAATTTAAAATAACATCTTCCGGATCCTCGTACAAATGAGAAGGAACTATTAAATTTTTAACGCCTTTTCCATCATCTACAATTTCTTCGTAAATTCCCGAAGCTATTGAAATATTAGATACTCGTTTTGGACAAGGATTTTTTAATTGATCAAAGCTTGCAACAAAATTGGGATTACTTGATGCTGGTTCAGATTCATAAACATTATCAATTGCACGTGTATGAATTTTTTTTTCTAATTTTTCAATATCTCTACTTGTTTTCGATGAGAGAATTAATCCAAGACCTGCATTTATCAAACTCGATGTAGCTTTACTTTTTAATGTTGGAAAAGAATGATTATCTTCATCATTATAAATTGATATTCTGAGATCACCTTCACTACGGCTTAATGGTCGTTGTGCGAAAATTTTGTGTTTTGGTCCACGACCTTGTGTTACAAAATCTTGTAATAATCTTTGAGCATTTAGACAAAATATATAAAGTTCACCAACACCACCACGAAATTCTTTAGTTGTATGTATAACACAAATTCTTTTCACATCGTCAGGACGACCGTTTGTTGATAAATGAAATTCATTAAATTCCTTCCATTCAAAATTTTGTACTATCTCTCCTGAATGAGCGTCCTTTATAAATACTCCTAAATTACTAGCTATCAAATCACCATGAAGACCTGTTAATAAATTATTTATTTAATTAAAATTGTAATTTAAATTTATAAATAAATAATTTAATAATATTAATTAAATCGGACCTGTTAAACCACTGGCTTTGGAATGTGCATTATCTATTATAGAAATACTGAGAGATCCTTCCATAAAGCGATGTTTTCTTGGTCTTAATAATTGTCGTAAATTTTCCATCCATCGTTGAGTATCAGTTTCAGAAGCCCCGGATAAATATAATAAAGGTTTTTTATCTTTTACCGTAAAAATTCCAAATGAAAATTGTTTTGTTTTCGATTCAGTACGACAAATCAATGAATTTGTTGAAATTTTTATTCTATTGTCCTTCTCATTTGGAACAACAGATTTTGCACTACCAATACTATAATCTAAAACAATTTCGATGCCATGATTTCCATTCAATTTTCTCACAGCACACCAATGTCTCTTCCATGCTTTCCATCCTGCTAATGATCGTTTTTTCACTTTTTGGCTCACTCCTTTGTTACCTGGGAGTTTTGCATCAATAAAGCCACATAATTCTGTATCTTCTCCTGTCATTTGAATAAAATAGTCTGCAAATTTAATATAAATTTATATAATATATTAAAATCAGATTAAAGTTTAAATTTCTTTTTTCCTAAAAGTACCAAATATATAAATAATAAAATAAATAATTTATACATACCTGTAAAATAAGGACAATTTTATTCAGTTCAATTGTCCTTTCAATCACTATGTATATATAGTCAAAACTTAAACAGCATCATTATTATATGTATCACAATTAAAGTTTACTTATTTTTTTTTCAAAAATCATTTACATGAAAAATTATAAATTATTACTGTAATTGAATGATATCGTATTATGGTTTAAATTTCATAATTAAAAGTCGAAAAAAGTTAAAATAATATAATCACAAACACACCTCTTTCACCCACCCGTCATTGATCTGATTTCTAGCTCCACCCTTGATACATATACCCTCTGCTTTTTTTGAATAATAATCAATTGCCATTAATCTTTATAGAAACCATTGAATTTTATATATTTAACAAATTAATTATATATTTTTATATTTATTTAATATTTTATCTTTTATAAATTAAAATATTTCAACTTTTAATTTAATAAAATTCAAAAAACTGTAAACAAGATTTAATACACAGTTTCAGTACAAGATTATAGAGAACGCTGTAGTCGCGACCGCCATAAGCGGGAAAATTTAAATACCTTCCTTTCAATATTATTTATTGTTTAATTTTTCTTTTCAATTAAACAAATATTAAAAATTATTATATAAACACAATTTTATTTTTTTATTACATGAAAATGTGTTAATTCGATAATAAATATAAAAATACTTGAAACAATTCCAATTAAAACAATTTTTAAAATTGTTGCAATACTCGAAAATGTAACAACATTATATTTTTTTCGTAAATTTATGTTACTGATTTGTTTTTTCTTATATTTAAAGTGCTGTAACATTCCATTATCTAGAAACCTACCAAGGCTGAAAAATATTTTAAATATAATTTTAGTTTTCAAAAACAATTAATTAATTTTTATTATATTTATAATAACTCACTGAAAATTCATAATTCCTGTGTATTTACTCTTTTTACTTATCGGCATTGCTATACAATTAATATCTCCTGTTTGAATCGTGACTAATTTGCAATTCGATGGAAGTTTTTGCAAAATTATTGTTTCTTCAGAAGCGTAAAGTGCAGTTTTGCTGTTACACACCTATTAAAATTAAATTTTTTAATTAAATTTATTAATTATTTTATATTTTATTAATATTTTAATTTTTTTTAAAACGATTTTCGTTATTTTCTTATAATGTTTTTAGAAATCAAATAAATTACTTGTGTTAGAGCTTCCATTTCAGTCTCAGGCAATTCATTCTCAGATTTCATTAATTTTCCCATATTCTTCAGTAATTGATCTTTTGTTTCCTTTTTTAAAAATAAAATATATTTTAATTTTATTGTATATCAAAAAAAAAAAAAAAAAAAAAACAGTCTATTAAATTCGGAATTTTTATAAAAAAAACTTACTTGAAACATATCGTAATGAACACTTTGTTTTAAAACTATTAATTTATAGCTACCATCCTTTACAAAACCTTCAAGTGTTGTAAATGGGAGAACAGTGGACGGTACTGTTAAATAACTAATTAAAGTCGCGGAATAAACTGAAGAAATTATCAATGCCGATATAAAAATTGAAAAATAAATCAATCGCAATGACATTATTTTTGGAATTTCTGAAATTAAAATAATTTTTTATTTTAATGAAATTAATTAAGCAATTATTTAAAATTTTTAAATGTAGTAAATTTTTGATAATAGAAACCTAATAATCCCTGTTGACAGAAAATTCGCCAAACATTTAAATAATTTTCACATAATAAAATTCGTAAATTTTTAAATCGTTTCATTTTTGCTTTAATTGTCGTTAAAATAATTGATGTTACAATTGTAATTACCACTAAGATACTCCAAATTTGATTATTAAAAGTCTAGAATTGAAAAATAGTAATTAAAAAAAATGTTTTAAATTTATAATTAAAAAAAAAAAATTTGAAAAAATACCTTACTTTAAAATATCCTAATTGTTGTATACTTGTGATATTTGGTTCCTTAAAACAAAGAATTGCACGAGATGTAATTAGTGGAATAGTAAAATCGACAACTTTTGATCTTCGTGTTGACATAATCATATCGGTAACGGCAAAATCAACATTTTTCTCATGAAGATGCTTTACAATTCCAGTCCATTCTTGTTTCTTTTCATCCCAATTTCCATATAATTTTTCTTTTTTAATAATCTTCATTTTAAAACTCATTGATTGTGAAAGTTCTTCCATTATTTTACCGAAAAATCCTCCCAATTTTTCATATTCATGATTTTCAACTAATGGTGATCCCTTTAAACAATAGAAAATAGATTTTCATCTTGAATTATTTTTTCCATTTCAAAAATTAGATTTTTCCTATTTTTTTTTTTTTTTTTTTTTGGTACTTACTTCTATAGTAACCATTCGTAGTGTAACTCCTCCAATATGATTTCTTCTCTGATAAAGTGATTTATTTGTAAATAATCGAAATCCCTCGTCAGGTTCCCAAAGGGCTAGATCAAAAGTAGATGTTTCATTTTTATGCACTGAATACCATTCTCTAATAATTGGATCGTCGTAACATTTTATTAACATTTCTGTATTGAATGCAACATTAAATTGATTTCCACGAGGATTTTTGCAATAATCAATTAAAATATATTCGCCACTTAGCGATCGAAAAATAATTAACCACACTGGACCCGATGTAAAACTATTATTCATTATTTTTTCATATTCTTTCATTGTTTCATATTTTCTTATAAAAATAACATATAATTCTCGTTTCACACTTCCTCTATAATAATTTTGTACGTCTATTAATTGTGTTATTTTTGCCGTTAGAGATGGAATCCCTTCAATTGACAATTGTTGTACTATATCAAAAATCGATCCAAGGGCTGCAATGTCTTATGAAAAAAATCATAAATTAAATTAATTCTTTTTTTTTTTAATTAAATTTTTTTGTAAAAATTTTTTATTTTTACTTACTTTCAATATTATCATTATGAATAATGAGAACGGATGATGTGTCATATATATTATGTATAGAGGAAATTAATTGAGCGTATTCTATTCCTAATAAATTTGATTTCACTTTTATTAATATCGACATCGATAATAATCCAAATATAATTAATTTATTCAACATTTTATAATGTAAATTTTGATAAAAATTGTTTTCTCTGCAAATTGAAAAATAAAAGTGCGTGCAAAATCAACAAACATTTTTCCTATAGCCCATATTTATTGCTGAGAAATCTAAAATTATTTCGTGTGAAATCGCAATTTTGCCATCTCATGCCTTGAATTATTTAGTAAAGATCCATTTAACGCGTTTAAAAATGAAAATTATATCTCTGATATATATTCACGATACTTGGTTGGAAATTATGATCAAGGGCAAATATTTTTTTTTTCGATAAATAATTTGTTTTATACATTTAACTTTGTTATTATTAATTTAATTTTTTCAATTATTTATTTTTTTAAACTATTTTTTTATTTTTGAATTAGGGTAAAGTAAAATTCAAGACATTTGTCTGATAATTTTTTTTTTTTTTTATTTTTTTTTTTTTAAAGTAAAATAAAAATAAAGTATTAACAGAGCTAGTGCAGATTATAATCTTGTGCTTTAATGAAAAAGGAGACAAATGTTTCTACTCTTGACATTTTACTTTATACTAAAGATAAACTTCTTAATTGGACAGGTCAATTTTTATGATAAAATCAGTTGTTTATATTTTCTCTCATTTATTAATAATATTTAAAGATGAACTTTTCTTTTTATGATCCCTTATATTAAAATATAATTATATTTTTAATTATTCTATTAAATTATAATAATTATTAATTATTATTTTTTTATTATTTATTTTTATTCTTTTTGGGAATTTTATTTCTAATTTTAGTCTTTTGGTAATATTTTATGATTTTGTATAACAATATTTTAATTTTATTGATATTTATGATTTGAAGATTGCTCTTATTTTTAAAAAGATAGTAACATTTTTCCACGCAATAAATTGTTACACCCAAAGTAAAACCGAAACCTATAATTGCAAAGGGAAATTTAGCAACTGATAGTCCAACTCTTGTATAAGTATCTCTACGTAGAAGTCTTTTATTAAGAAATGTTTTCAAATAGACTTTTTGTAATTGATCTATTAATCCATAATTTTTTAGTTTAGTAATGCTGAAATAAAAATTTAAAAAAATATATTATATTCATCTTGCTTTGATTTTAGTACTCGTTTTAGTATTAATAATATAAACGTACTAATAGTTTATTATGTCTGTAAATTCGCTATGTTTTTGCAAAATTAAACCCACATTGTCGAATTTATTAGTTGGAATTTGATAAATAGGACATTTAATATAATCTTTCATTATCTCTTTTAAATAACTACTGATATACAAAGCCACTTTTTCTTGGCAAACCTGAAAATTAATTGCGAATAATAATTATCACACACTTTTTTTTTAATTTACAATTTAAAAATTATATTAATATTTTTTCGATTAAACAATAATTAAAAAAAAATTTCGTGTCAAATGTTAAATAAAATACGGTATTTATAGTTATAATGATTTGAAAATACTACGCGGTATACTCATCAAAACATATGTAACGCGAATTAATAAGTTGTTTTTTTTTATGTCGAAAATGACATTTGTCAGTTAAACTTGTGTCAAATTAAATTGTCCAATATTTATCAAAATTGAATAAAAATTCAATGTAACTATTTTTTAAATTGTTATATATGTTTTCAAATTTTTCAAAAATGACAAATTTTCAAATTCTCATACCATATCGAAACCCTCTCTCATATTTTTCGGTAATTGATTTCTCTTCATCATTAAACTTTTCATGGCAATTAAATCTTCGTCACTTGTTTGGTGCTATTAAAAAACAAATTGCAAAATTAAATATCAAAAATGTAATTAAAATTTAATTTTAATTTTTAAATTATATAAATATAATATTTTATATTTTTTTATTATGTAAAAAATAATTTTTTAAATTATATAATCAAACCTGAAAAAATTCATACGCTGACGAGTCTTTAAGAACAATCAATTTGTAAGATTCATCAGCGACCAATTCCTGAATAGTTTTAAATGTCAATTCTGTATTTATTACATTAATAATAGCTGTTAACGATGCACAATAACCAGACCAAATTATTATCGATAGAAGAAAAATTGAAAAATACGCTATTCGTAGAGTAGATTCTAAAGGAAATTCTATAACAAACGTTAAATGGAAAAATATTTGTAAGTAAAAAATAAATGCAAAATTTCTTTAGTACCTGTTAAACCTTGTTGACAAAAAATACCCCATACATTGACATAATTTTCCGACAATAGACTTGGCAAATAATACGATTCACGAATTTCAATTTTCATGAAAGTGAGATATAATGGAGTTATTAATACAAATAGTCCAAGATATATCCAAACATTTTTGGTAAATGTCTAAATTAGAAATAATCAGTGTGATTTTTTAATTAACGATTTTGAAAAAAAAAAAATTGCTAAATATTATTTATACCTTAATGTAACCAGTCCAACGAATTGAATCATCGGGTTTTCTGAGATATAAAAAATTCTCAACAACCATCAATGGTATTGTAGAATCAACATAATGTAATCTTTCCGAAGTCAATGATACATCGGAAGCTGCCAAATCAATTTTATCATTAATCAAATGATCTATTACACCCGACCATATTCCAGTTGTTTCATTCCACACTCCAATTGAATCTTCTTCTGACACAAAATCCATTGTAAAATTAATAGATTCTTGTATTAATACAAAAATATGTCCCATAAATCCTTTTAGCGTGTCGCCTTCTCTTTTAAGTAGATCATCATCCTAATTTCATTATTATATAATAATTAAATTTTTAAATAAAATTTTCGTATTTCTATACTTACATCAGAAGTAGCTATCCTCAATTTCTTTCCTTTAAGTCCACCTCTTCTTTCGTATTTTGTGAGATTATTATTCAATTTGAAACCATTTTTGATGTCCCATATTGCTAAATCATAAACACTTGTTGTATTTTCAATTAATGAATACCATTCTTGAATAATTTTTTCATCGTAACATTTAACAATTAATTGCGAATCAAAACGTAAATTAATTGGATTACCCAAAGGTTTCATGCAAAAATTAATTAAAGGTTTTTTATTATTCTTTCGTGTTTTCATAAATATCATCAAACAATCATGTGTTGGATATGCAAATTTTGATGTTTTTTTATCAGTTTGTTGAAACATTTGAAAATATGCTTTAAATGAATTTTCACTTGTAAAAAATATTACAGTCATTGGTACTTGTGCTCGACTTTTTCCTAATTTATCATTTACTGATGATTTGTATTTATTTGGATTTTCAAAATTTACAAACAATGTAAATATTTTCAATCTTGAGAAGTGCAATGCTATGTTTAAAATATCATTTCTCTCTGTAAGATCTATTTAATATATATATATAGGTATAAAAAAAACTGAAATATTCTAATATATTTTATAATCATAAATCAAATGAATTATATAAACTCACCGATTTCGGAACTGTAAAAGAAAATAATAGATGAACACTTGTAATAATTATACACGTCTAAAATAAGTTGTACATTTTCCTTAAAATTTGCATTTGTAAATTTTATCATTGTACAAAGAAGCATTGAGCACAAAAATTTTGAAGATTTTTTCATGATTTGAAAATTTTTTTATACAAGTTCCGTAAATATTATGGATTTTGAAAAATTGTTCAGTTGTTTTTGATAGACTAACAATAATAAATTCACATATTTGAATAAAAATAAAAGATAAAAGCGTGTTATAAACATATAATAGATGACACCATTTTTTTTTTATTCGATATTTTTATTCCCAATTTGTATTTAGATTAAAAGTGATGATACAATTTTCCGATGCATTTATATTTCAAATGTCTTTCAATTATAGATTTTTTTTTTTATTATTAATCAATAATAACATTTGATTAAAAATCGAATTTTTTTTTTTAAATAACATTGTATTGAGAACATAATTTTTTATATTCATTAAAATTGAAAACCAATTTTATTAACTCCAGAATTCATTAGAATTTTATATTCACGATTATTTTTTGTAAATTTGACATTTGGTGCTTCATTTCGATTAGAATGATCCAAAGTAATTTGTTTGTGTTTTAAATTTTCCAAGAAATTAACTTTGCGATGTCTACTACTTTTTTTAACTGTTGTCAATTTGTGTAGAAAGAAAAATTTTATTTCCCCTAATAAAATTATAATACTAACAATAATTCCAGTGCCAACTATTGCTAAAAGTATTATAATTTCCCAAATAGTGACTTGTGATTTTGGTTCATCTGCTACTGTCTCATGATAAAAATATTCTTCATAAAATCGCTTTAACATACCATTGACTTCAAAATTGAAAAAGCTGCAAAAAAATCGTTTTTAAAAAAAAATGATAAGTTAAATTAAGTAATTAAATAATTAAATTACTTTCGATTAATTTCACTTTTGAATTGACTATGTTTTGGTAAAGCCATTGCTGATATTTCAAGTAAATTCGTTTTTATTTCATGTAATTCGCATTTAATTTGAATATCGTGAATTTTTCGTGCCGTTTCTACGACAAAAAAACCAACATCTTGCTCACAAACCTAAAAAAAAAGAAATATAGAAATTTAAATATTTGAGGAATTCTTTAATTTTTACCATATCAAATCCTTGTTGAACAGAATCGGGTAAATCTTCAGTTTTCAGCATAATGTTGAACATTGCTTTTAAAATATCAGTTTTCCCAAACTGAATTGTTTAAAAAATAATAATGACAAAGAGAGAATAATTAGTAAAATTTCTTTTAAAAAAACGTACTGAATTTTTTACTATATAAATAATTACCTCAAAAATATTATAATCTGCACCATTTTTTAGAGTTATCAACTTGTAATTTCCAGATTCAACAAAAGATTCCATATCCGGTAGATAAACAATTGGTATTGGATACGTTAAGCGACTTATTAAAATTGCTGAATAATGATCCAAAATTATTAAGGCAGAAATAAAAATCGCGAAGTAAACTATTCTTAAAGCTTGTGATGCTGGAAATTCTGCAAAATTTTTATTGAAAACCAATTTAATTTCTTTTATAAAGATAATGAATTATTGATTGAAAAAATTTAATCGTCATAAATTGTAATTTAACAAGTATAATTTAAAGAGAAAATGAAAATTTTAAGACCTAATAATCCTTGTTGACAATATATTCCCCAAATATTAAGATAATTTTCCATAAGAAGTTGAGATAAAACGTAGGAATCGCGAACTTTTATTTTCATCACAGTTAAAATGAGTGGCGAAATTAATATTATTAAAATAACTCCAATCCAAATACGATAATCGAAAAACTGAAATTATAAAATATTATTAATTTTTATAATACCTGGGATGGGATTAAATAAAATTATTTTTACCATAAAATATCCTAACCACTTGATAACAGTTCCAGATTTTGGTTTTTGTACATATAATATTGATTCTACATTCAATAATGGTATTGTATAATCAATAGCTGACATTCTTAAAGAAGATAATGCCAAATCTGTTACTAATAAATCAATTTTATTTTCGTAAAGTACATTCACGGCTCCTGTCCAATAATTGCCGGTAACATTCCAACTTCCATATTCACGTTCTCTTGACTCAAGTTCCCATGTGAAATTCATACATTTTTGTAATTCATCCAATAAATGACCGAAATATCCTTCTAATTTATTATCCTCTGTCCATGAAGTTAAAGCCGATGGCTGAAAAATTATATTTGCAATATAATATATTTCTATAATTTTAATTTTTCAAAAAATTTACCTCTGCTGTTGCTATTTTCAATACTCTTCCATTTAAATCAATTCTTCTATGTTGATGATCTAGAATCATTGTTAAAAATTCAATTTGTGGATCCCATATTGCCCATAATGATACCTTCATGTCATCTCCATTTAATGTATACCAACCATTTAATCTATCATTATCATAACATTTAACTACCATAAAAGAATCGAGACGTAATTTAAAAAATGTTTTATCAGGATTTGCACAAAAATCACTTAAATATTCTTTATCTGTTTTAACAAATAATACAAGAAAAAATAATTGTTCCTCAGAACTTAATTCTTCGCACATAAGACGAAATTGATTTAAACTTTTTTCATCAGAGAGTAAAATAACAATCATTGGTCGTCTTCCATGTATTTGTTCTTTATTTTTTTCCCAATAATGTTGTCTCATTATGTCCCAATCACGAAAATCTGCCGTTATTGAAAAAATATCACGTTTTGATAGCAGAGTCGTTATTTTTAGAAGATATTGCTTTTCAATGAAATCTTTATTTGCGATTTTTAAAATAGAAAATAATATTTAATTAATTGAATTAATTCCATATTATAATAATATAATCGAAAAAATAACTTACCATCGTTTTCAGAATAATGAAAAATTGTTATCGATGATTCCTTATTATGATCGAAAATTTTAATCATTAATTTTGCATAGTCTTCTAATTTTATTTTAGCGCTCGCTAAAAAATATATCAATTGTATTGATAAAATGCACAAAATTTTTAATATTGTATTTAATTGCATTTTTATTCTATAGATATATATATATATATATAGTTTATTTTTTACTAATTATACATAATTTTTAAATAAATTCTAAATCACATAACATTGTCTTGTCTTTAGTGAAGTTAAACAATAATGAATAAAAGAAAAAAAAATGAATCATCCATTCATTTTATATCTGATGATATAAAATGCATATTATTTTTTTTTATCAACTTTTTTTTTTGTCATGAAAAGATAATTGACCAATAGAAAAAGCTTTTACGCCTCCATTAGAGATACATTAGAAAATATATTTAAAATATGTTATTTATCACACCTGTAAAAATATTTTTCATTATGAAATATCATTCAACAATATTGTAAATTTTACTATTGAAGTAGTAAAAATAGCAAAAAAAAAAAAAAATTTTGTCTCTATTTTAAATTAGTTAATTATAATTTTTTTATATTAAATTTGGGAAATATACATTTTTCTAGCGGGAAATTTGTATTATTGATTAAAACTAATTTAGTTCATTGATTTGACACTAGGAGTCAGATGTTATTTTATCTCACAGTTGAGTGTAGTCGCTGTGGGTATAAAAGGCAGCTCATCAGGGAGAAAAGCATACTTACCTGGCGCAGAGGCTACCGTGATCAACAAGGCGGTTCCTCCAGGGCGAGGCTCTTCCATTGCACTACGGTTGAGCTGACCCTTGCGAATATCCCTAATGTGGATATCTCGGGCGTATAATTTTTGTTAGTCGGGACTGCGTACGCGCTGTCCCGGAATAATTTCAATTAACATAATTTTTTTTTATTTTACTATATATACAAAATTAGTAAAATAATTTGTTAGCTGTTTTTAACTATAAATGTTTAGTTAAATTAGCTATAAATTTTCCCCATTAAAAATTTGTTGCTTCTAATAATTCCTTTAATGCAAAAATTAAAGGATGGCCAAACACTTAAATAAATTAACACTAAACAATTTAACATTGCATAAAATTTATTTTACATGTAAAAAATTAAGTAAACATTTTTTTTTAATTACAATTATAGAAATAATGTAATTACAACTTTTTTTTTAGTGATTATAATTAATCAACTGAAATATTTTTTTGAAAATAATTATTCCTATTGTCTTTGCGAATGAAAAGAGCGATCATATTATTTCTCCTCTGTCTTTCTTTTTTTTCATGATAATTAAAGTGAATTTTTTCTAAAATTAATATAACAATTGACAATATAAAAGCACATAGGACAATTTCAAATACCGTGTCAACACCACCTAAAGATATTGATTCGACAATTCTAAATTCAGTATCTGATTTTCTTTTCAATCTTTGACGCACTAATCGATTGAGTATTCCAAATTCTTTAAATCTCTGTATGCTAAAATAGAAAATTTATTTTCAATAATAATAAATAAATAATAAATAATACCTTTTTATTTAGAATACTCACTGGTAATTAAACATTCCTGTATAAGGACTATTTTTCGGTAGTGACATAGCTAGAGAAATTTTTCTTATTGTAGGAATTGTTACTAATTCGCAAAGATTAAAATTATCAATAGATGTTTCTGCACTTTGTTCGACCAAAAATACTGAATATTTGTCTTTGCAAATCTGTATCAAATAGAATTATTTTTAATTTATAATTAGTTATATAGTCATTTAATTTAATTTTCATACCATATTAAATCCTTCGGTGAAAGTTAGAGGCAATTCATTGTCTTTTTTTAATAATTTATTCATTCTCTTGGCGTAATTATCATTAAAATTCTAAATTAATAACAGATAAATAATATTTATAATAGAAAAATTAATTAAGAGCAAAATAGTTTTTTTTTCGCATTCATTTCTTACTTTTATAGAATCGTATGTCTCTCCTTTATGAATAACTATCATTTTATATTTATCCTGATAAATAAATTGTTTTAAAGAAGAAAATGGTAAAATTGGTGAAGAAACTGCAAGGCGACTTATTAAAGCTGCCGAATAAGCTGATAATAATACTAATGATAACATAAAAGTAACAAAATAAATAATCCTCAATGAGCCTCTTTTTGGAAAATCTGTAAAAACAAAATATATTTGTTTTAATGAATTTTTATTATTTAATTAATAATTTTTTTTTACTCCATACCTGAAATTCCTTGTTGGCAATAAATACGCCAAATCTCTAAAAAATTTTCTTCAAACAAAAGTGGTAAAGATCTATTATTTTCTCCTCCCATCATTATTGAAGTGAGAAATAATGGAATGGTAATTAATAATAATATTAAAACTCCCCAAACATATGAATTGAATGCCTAAAAAAAAGTTAAATATTATAAATATTTTTAAAAAAATTATTATTCATTGATTAATATTATTATTTTATTTTAATTAATTTTTAATGATAATATTAACCTGAAAATAGCCAAATCTTCGTATTTGAGTGCCATTTGGCTGCCTAAAATATAATCCCTTATATGATTCAATAATTGGTTGTGTAAAATCAACCTGATGCATTCTTTTTGCTGTCATTGACATTCCAACAGCTGCAACATCAACTTCATTTGATGCTGTTTTATTCATTATTCCTGTCCAAACTCCATTTTCAAATGTTCCAAATTGACTTTCTTTTGATACTGTGAAATGTGTAAAATTCATTACTCTTCCAAGTTCAGCAAGAACTATCAAATAAAGTTCCGAACTGTTTCTTGATGAATTTGTTTTATCCTTAAAAATATTGAGAAAAAAAATGCAAATTCAATTTTTTTTTTTAAATTAATCATTGATAATTATTATTATTATTAAATTTTTTTTTTAATATCACTCACCTCGATTGTAGCACTTTTCAATATTTTACCACCAATATTATGATTTTTCCCAAAAAAAATATTAGTTGTTGTCATATTAAAAATATGATTTTCTAAATTCCAATTCGCTAAATTACGAATTTCAATTTGATTTTCATTGATTGAATACCATTTATAAAGATTATTGTCATTAAAACATTTGACAATCATTTTACTATTGAACGATAGATGAAAAATATTTTCCAATTGATTTGAACAATTATTGGTAATTGATGTTTTTGTAAAAATAATAAGCCAAGTTGCCCATTTCATATTGACTTTTGCGGAAAAATTTTGAAAATTTTTTAACGAATTCATATTTGTTAAATAAACAATTATTAATGGTTGATTAGAACTTTTTTCATAAATAACATTTAATTCTTGTAGATTTGTAAATTTTAATGTCACGGTTTGAATTTGTTTCATAATGAGTTGTCGACAAATTTCAAAAATAAAAACACTTTCCTCCGAATCTATAAATTAATTATTATATATTATTATTTTAGTAATATTAAAATTATTAGATTTATTTATTATTTTATTTTATTATGTTTCAGGTTTGTAACTTACCATTATCACTAGTGTCATCATATAAAATAATCACGTGAGTTATTTTTAACCAATTTTTAATATCCTCAATAAATGTAATATTATTATTAATTTCATTGTGAATTATTGTCGATTTCACTACTGTTTGGCACAAAATAGCGAAAATTAAAATTGCACAAAATTTCATTTTATTGTCAATAATAATAAAAAAAATAAAGTAACCATAACGAGTATAGAATGAGACTAGTAAAAAAGTAATATTATTCAGTTCTTCTTTTTTTTGAACTTGCATGTTAATATTTCCAGACAGATCTAATCTGACGGTGACTGTCATTCAAATTGTCATATTTAATGTTTAGGAATACATTTTTGTTTGCGTATTATATCAATAATCAACCTAAAATCGAGATGAAAACTCGGTAAATTTCATTGTTGACAAGGTCATATTAAACAAATATATTTAATAGTCAGACAATTATTTATTTGACGCACCATACAAAAAGTCTCATCTGTAGAATTTAATTTAAAAACAAAATATATTAAAAATAAATTTTGATTATAAAAATAAATATTAAAATTTATTTTTCACTATTTCGATGAATAAACATTTTTTTCTATAATGTTCTTGATTGGTCACTGGACTTAAATTGAACGTTCTAACAGGTGCAAGTCATCTTTTATGATTATTCATTTTATCCGTTTTCATCAAATAGTTTTATTTATATATAAATATTTGTTCAACTATCACTGAACCCCCCCTTTTTTTTACTTTTTTTTATACCAGAAAATACATAGAAATTGTTAGATTAGATAAACAGAACATCATTTAAATGATTAATATTATTCATAGATATAACTAATATGGTTAAATTGCATATTATTTATTTTTATGTTTATACTTTATTTTTGATATCGAAAATGTTTATCGATATGTTTGACATCAAATAATTGGATAAAAACTTTTTATTTTTAAAAATGGAAGAAATTTCAAAATATTACCTATAGCTTTTTTATTTCAATTTAAAAAAAAGGTAGAAACATTAACAAACATTTCAAATTTGCATATAAAAATTGCGATTTTTAGTATGCAATTAAATCTATTGAAATAATAAAAGTTTATGTTTAATAACAAATTGTTATTTGTTTTTTGAACAAATTAATTTAATATATTTTTTAATTTAATTAATTTTAATCTAGTAAATTTACATTATTGATTAAAATTAAATAAACAAAATTAAATTGAAAAATAAACCAATTTGGCTTCGTTGAGTATAAATATTTTTATTTCGGAAATAATTATATTTATTATTTTTTAAATATAACCGGAAATGATAGTGGCGCACTCTTGCTGACACAAGGTGAACAATTAAACCAAACAAACAAGTGACAAACCAGGAAATCTTAATTTTTTTGACAATTTAATTGTTTTACACTGATTTTTATTCGTGTTTTCATCACGGTAAGTAATTATAAAAAATATAAAAAGAAATTTATAAACATTACTTTAATATTTACATTTAACTTTATATTTTGTAGTTCAAAAAATGTTACCTATTTGCCGGTTAAACAATGACAAGGTGACATAACCTCAAATTAAAAGTTATTTTAAACGTCAAGAAAGGATACAATTTTAATTTAATATTGAATGAATAATTAATTTAATTTTATAAAACAATTTCCTTAACTTAAAATTATTGTAATATTCATGTTTTAAAAATGTAAATTTTTAGTATATAAAATAAATTTTAAACGTTTTGAATAAAGATTATTTGAACTTTTTAAATAAAATGAAATATATTTTATTTACAGTAAAAACTAATATGAAAAGGCGGCGAAGTGAACCTAATCCAAATCCACTTTTTTTGAAATGGCTGCTGGAATGGAAGGAAGAGGCAGCGAGGGAGAAAAAAGAATCCCTTAAACAATGCTTAATGAAAGCCGCTAAATCTCTCAAAGAATGCCGAGAGACACTTTATAGTGGTGAAGATTGCGGTAAACTTAAATATTTTGGACCAAAAGTTTGCGCTATGTTACAAAAAAGACTCGATCAACATATTGAGGAGAATGGTAATCTGCCAGGACCTTTTGATGATGTTGCTAAAACTCCCAGGAGAGCTCAAAATCAAAGAGTAATAATTTATTTTTTATTATTTATTTACTTTTATTATATTTATTGTAATTATAAAAATTAAAAATTAATGTTACTTTTTTCAGACTCCAAAAACTTACGTTCCGAAACCTGGTTCAGGTGCTCATGCGTTACTTCTAACATTATATCGACAAACACCATCAGGAAATAAAGGTAAATAAATTAAAAAAATTAATTATTTAACTAAATTTGTCATTACAAAATTACAAATTTCCTATAAAATAAATTTGAATTTTGTTTTTAATATTAGGATTCATGACAAAAGCACAGTTACAGGCTGAAGCACAGCCTCTATGCGATACATCATTGAAAAAAGCGCAAGCAGGTACTTTTTATACTGCCTGGAATTCAATGACGACACTTCAAAAAGAAGGACTTGTTCTAACTTGGTCCAATCCTGCAAAGTAATTATAAAAAAAAACCATATTATAGAATATTTTTTTAAAAATCTTATCGAATGCTATTAAAAATAATGATTTTGTGATTCTTGTATTTAAGGTTTCGTCTCACAGAGGCAGGAAAAAAGCTTGCCGAAGCCATTGAAAATGCAAATAATCAAGGCAATGCTCGTAATGGAAATGTAATAACTACTCGTGATAATGTAGCCACTTTTGATATTTTGTCATCTGAAGATGAAGAGGAAATATATATCAGACCAAAACCGCATGCACTTTCCAATTTTGCTCTCGACAATTTTTCTAATAACGTGGAAAATATTCCATCAACTTCAACGAATAAGTCGAAACCACTATCATCATTTTCTCATTTTGACCTCGATAATTTTTACGACAATATAGAAAACATACCGTCAACATCAAGGAAACAATCGAAACCTCAATCAAATTCCGATTTTGGTTTGAATAATTTTTATAATAACATAGAAAATATACCGTCAACTTCAACGAAACAATCGGAAAGAACGTCGCCAGAAAAAGATATTTTCTTCTTTGAACCCAATACATTTGACATTATTTTATTGGTTGATAGTCAAGAAACTAGCGGGTAAAGTAATTATTTTAGTTTTACATTCAAATCACTGTATTTTAAAGAATTATTTAAAAAACTATAATTATATTTTTGAAAATTAATTTTAGAAAAGCAAAACAAAAGGATGATCCAACTTACACAGAATTAAGATCATTGAATCAACAATTTGAAGTTCGACGTTTGAATGTAGGAGATTTTATGTGGATTGCAAGATGTAGAACCACAAAGAGAGAACTTGTACTTCCGCATATTGTCGAAAGAAAACGAATAGACGATTTAGAACAAAGTTTAAAAGACTCGAGGTATAAGGAACAAAAGGTAAAAAAAAATGTCATTCGACTCTTTAAGAATGATCTTATTAATTGCTTTTTTTAAACTATAAAATTGTTTACAGGTAAGATTAAAGCAATCGGGAATCAAGAATCTGATTTACTTGATAGAGAGTTATGCTAAAAATCAACATACCACCATCGATATTAATACTCTCTTTCAATTGTCAGTAAATACCCTTATTCGAGATGGTTTCATTGTAAAATACACGGATAGTCATCAGGATTCTATGTTGTATTTGTCAATTTTAACAACAAATCTCAGAAATATTTATAAGGTACAAAAGTAAATTTAATTAAAAAATTTCTTCATCTTCAATATTTCATTATATTTATTTTTTATTTTCAGAGTAAACGTTTGTCAAGTTGTGACAAAAAGGATTTGAATTCCCCTAATACTTCTAAAAATTCAGAATCACTAATGGTATTCGAAAAATTCGATAAAGATAATGCGAAAACAAAGGTACGTTAAAGAATTTATTGGGAACATAATTATTAATTTTTCCCACCTATTGAAGAATTACACTTTTAAAAGATAGAATTCTTTTTAAAAATAAATTTCTATATTTTTTCAGCCGAGAAAAGTAAAAGAAATGTTTTTACGACAACTTATACAAATAAAAGGAGTTTCCGCCGATAAAGCTGTGGCAATTGGGGAAATATTCCCAACGCCAAAATTACTTTATACTGCGTTAGTCGATTCAGAAAGTAGAGGAGAAAATCTTCTAGAGCCATTGCAATATGGTTTGGCCAAACGGCAAATAGGGCCAGTTATAAGCAAAACTATTTATCAATTATATACACAGAGAATATTAACTTAGTTTCTATATCTTACGACAAAAAAGTGTTTTTGAAAAAAAAGAAAGTTAAGTATTAATAATTTAAAGTTTATAAAAATCATTTCTGGCTGTGCGATGATTAAAAAAAAATATCGAAAAAAGTTTTTATTTTTCTTTAATAATAAAGTTTATAAAAAAACTTATATAAGTTTATTAACTTAAATTTAGTATATATATGTAAAGCAAATTCTAAAAAAAATAATAAATCATTATTTTTCAATATTCAGCTTTAATAATTTTCTCTTCTGTATAAATTATCATTTTACACACCCTTAAAACTGTACACTATGTATATTTACATTCGACTCTCTTTTTTTTTACAGTAAAAAATACTTGAAAATATTCTATTATAGCAAAACAATTTGAAAACAATATTTACAATGTCTTCTATATTAAGAAAAGCTCTTAGACAAAAAAAATTCACGTTTCGTCTTTTTCAATGGAAACATTCGGTGAACTAACGTCAGATATGACATTTTGTTTTTGCTCTTGATCAATTATTTTTCCTTGCGTTATAAGACTCGATGAGCTTAACATTACCGAAATTTGCTCTGGAATTGGACAGGCAATTAACATGAGATCTTCGGAATTATAATAGGTATTTAAAATTTGCAATAATTGCGTAAAAGCAGCGACAATATTATTTTTAATTGGTCTAAATAAAATGCATTCAGTTTCTTTGTTTGCCAAATATAATTGCATTGATTGTTGAAGACCTGGTAGTTTGAATTTTATTAATCTTATTGCGTCGCTAACGGAAGTTGCGACATCTTGGGCAGTTCCTAGTTCTGGATTTTTATTTTCTCCCGAAGAAGATGTTGATTTTGCTTTTTCTAGCAATTTCAATACTGGCTCGATTAATAAATTCGTTGAGTACTGAATCAGTCTTTGACAAGTTGATTTAAGTTTTGCGTCAACATGTTTACGAGAATCGATTAAATGTTCCTTCATTTGAGGTGCGCCTTCCAAAAGAAATTCCAAAAGTGCATTATTCGAGAGAGTGAATAAACGTGAACGTTTCTCGAGTAATCCAAAAGCTGCTGTTTTTACTTTTGAAAAATCTAAACTATACTCCTTGACTGTAAAGTCCACCTAAGAAACGATAATCACATTTAAAAAAATAAAATTAATTTACATAAAATTAGTAAATATTTACCTGAAAGGGCGCAATTTGTTCCCGCAATATTAAAAGATGTTTGATTTGAAAGAGTTCAGCGTCCAATTGACTAGCTCTCAATTGTATTTGTTGTTTAGCTTCTTCAATACTTTGAACACAAAGTGTAATTGCTTCCTGACTAAGAGATTGAAAAACAGGCCTATCAACACATCGATAAAGTCTCGATAAACAAACAAGTGTTCTTCTCACAGTTGGATACCACATTCCATGAAGATCAGCCGGCGAATTACCCATATTAGTTCGCTGATAAATTGGATCCATTGTCAAATGTGTTCTTGATATTTGCTCCGAAATATTACTGTCCATTGAAGAAACTGATATTCTTTTTAATTTAATTTGTCTAGTTTCTTCGCGAATTGATTGAGCTATTTCTTCCATCATTTTCAATTTTTCTGGATATGATAAATCGCCAGGCGATGGTTTATAACCAACAACATCTGTTTGTAAATATAAATGTGCACGGAAGACTAAACGTTCTTGTACGTCATGTAATAATTGAAGGCAAATATTTCCAAATCCCTGTAGTGGTTCGAAATTATTTTGTACATGCTCATCAAGCATTTCTATCCTGAGAATACAACAAATTTCAGCGAGTGTCTCTAAATGATTAATGTGAATAATAAATGGTCTTAAAGTATCGTAAAGTGATGTACAAAGACCTTCCAAATAGGCGGTGAGACTTGGTGAAAATTTAGTGAAAAATTGATAAAATAATCTATGTTCATCAATAGAAGCGTGAAGAAGTAATGCACATGAATGTCGTACAAGACTACAATGATCACCATTACATTTATCCTTGACTGATTGTAATGCCCTTTGAACACTTGGTCCAAGAACTAATCCTCTTTGGCTTAAATAGTACTGATGACATTCAGTCAAAAGTGTATCATACTCTTGTCGTTTATATGACATTGTTTCGATTCTTTCAATAATTAATTTGACTTTTGGCAATGTCGATTGAAATCGACCATAAAATAATGCCAATGTTGTATCAGAATTTTCCTCTAAACCACCACTTTTTGTATTTAAAATACTTTCCGTTGCATTTGTTAACGATTTAAAAATATAATTTGTCATCAATGTAATTGCCTTCGATTGACAATGACGATATTTCATTAAATACATTGCACTCTCCTTGAAAGTTGAATTATTTTGCATAAAATCCATATTAGTGTCGATTTTTTCAATTAGATTGAAAAATACTTCACTATTAACAGAGAGTGTTGGTGCGTCTAATTTATCCATAATAATGTCCACTTCTTTGAAATATTTAATATATTCAGCGACACTATTCGTTAAAGTATTTAATGTTTCCTGATCGGCAATTAATTGTTCACTAGCATCATAGAGAGATGTTGTTTTACCCGAGACCAAACTGTATTGTTTCGAGAGCGATGTAAAATCATCCAGCGATTTTCCAATTTGTGAATGTAAATTTTCACATTCCTCTCGACGACACATCAATTGTTCGAGATAAGTCATGTATTTTGCATCTTCTGCCAAAATGTATCTGACGAAAAAATATTAAACAATAATATTTCATTCACGAATTTTAATTTATAAAAATTACTTATAAACAAATTAAATAGTATTATAAAATGTACAATTGTTACATTATTAAATTATTTTTCATTTATTTTATTAATAAAACAATTAACAAATGAACTTACTTTTTCTCCAACTCTGTATAGCATTGTAATAATTCTTGACAAGTTTCAATTCTCTCGACAGTACCATTAATATTACTTTTTGATTCTGAATTTATTTTTTCATTTGATTCAATAAAATTAACAGAATCAGATAATGAAATTTGTTCCTCTAAATTTTCTAACCATTCTTTTTGATTTATCGTCAATGGCGCGAGGGCATTAATTGACGAATCGTCCCATTTTATTAAATTATCAGTAACTATCTTCGAATTGCTCATTTTCGCTCATTTGTGCGAATAAATAAATTAATATATCACTTGAAGAAAATATTATTTTTTTTTATACATAAGTTTGACAGTAATGACACTTAGAATTTTGAGGTTATTACTTGCGTGGCGAAAATCAGGGTTGCAAACGTTTAGAAAAAAAAAAAAATTATCTTCGATTTGTTAAAATTATAGCGGGGAATTTGAATGTTGAATCAAATAACCAATCAACAGTATGCTTTGTAAATACACGTAAATTCCGAGATGTTACGTATAAAATCATACCTAACAAACCCTGATTTTATTTTTTACTGTCGGTAAAAAAGAAACAAGTTTTAAATTCAAATTTAAAATTCATTGAAATTTTTTATTTTTAATCTAAAATTTCTTTAGTGATTTTAATTAAATCCTCGAAATTTCAAAAAATTTATATCAAATAAAATTTTAAACAACATATTGATCATCAGGAATATAGTTGTAAGTTATTTAAATGTTTTATTTTCCGCTGACGTCAATTGTTCACGTGACTTATTTAAGGGATAACATCTAATGCTATGGGGATAATAATAGTTTTAATTAAACGGAATTATTTCTAATTTACATATAATTTACATAATATATGTAATATATTTTATTTTTAAAAACTATTTTTGAATTTTAAAATAATACTGTGTGTAGATAATGAACTTAAAATTTTTTTTTATTATAAAACTGATTGTCCCTCCAGGTAGATTGCATATATATACTATAAATCTGATTATATTAAATTAAATAAATTATTTTATTTTATGTTTTATGACAAATTAAAAAATATTTAAAAAATAATATATGTAATTGACTCTTAAATTAATTAATTTAATGGTTACTTTATTTATTCGACGTACACGTGTCGCAGAAATAATTAAGCTTTATTTTCAGTCCCCATAAGCATAAAAAAAATTATAATCAATTTCTATCCAGGAAATATAAAAATCTCATTTAATTTACAATCAATACGAAATTATATTAATAAAAATATTAAATAAGGTGCACTTAAAGGTCAGGCAATTTTATTGATTTTTTTTAATGTTTTATTTTAGTTAAAAAATTAGGTATAATAAAAATTTATTAACATAGTATTTACAAAATGAATAAAAATTTACAAAATTTATTAAAACATTTTTGTAATTAATTTATTAATTAATTTCATTGAATGGTAATTACAATAATTTTGTACAAAATAAACCAAAAAATATCATTAAAGAAATTGTTTTCCTTATATAACTAAAAAAGCATAGAAATATTTTAATTATTATTTAATAATACGTAAAAAAAAGGAATTTTTTTTTCTATAATTTATTTTACTTAGAATATATTAAAAAATAGAACTATCGTTTTACTTATTTATAAAAGTTATACATAAAGTTTACTATATTAAATTTTAATGATTAAATTATAAATATTCGTTTAAATTTAAACTATTATTTTTATTATTTATATGAATAAAATAAAAGTTAATTTTAGTGAAAATTTAAAAATATAAAAAATAATAAATAAACGTCATCATATTTATTAATATTAATAAATTTAAAAAAATTAATTAATAGAATAAATAAGGATTTAATTAATCAAATTTTTATTGTTATATGATCAAGCAGTTTATTTATTTTTAGTTGATCGCATAACAAAAAAAAGTTTTTATCGAACTTTTTCTGAATTACGATTAATAAATAAAATTGTACGTGCAATTTTTATAATTAAATTAAATTCTAAAGGGAATTAGAGAAATTAATCAACTTCACTGGCTGAGGCATTTATTTTATACATATATACTTATTTATTTCAGTATCTCAGGTTTTTCATTTTGATCTGGCCAATTTTTTTTTTTTTGGTAGGCATCATATCAGATTATACATATGCTACCATACGTATCCACTAAAAATTCCACAATAACATTATGATAATTCCATATATCTCCATAAGTTTATTTTGTATTACATTGATCATTCATTTTTTGATAATGGTATACAATTATACCATCTCTTCACATTATTATTATTATTATTATTATTATTATTATTTATTAATTTGTTAATTAGCTTTCATAATAGTAAAATATACACATAATTCATATATTTATCGTAATGTATAATATCATCTTACTGATATAATATAATATATCGATTGAAATATTAACAATTGCAGGCTAGCCACTAATAATTTTATTTTTCATTTTTTTTTAAATATATTTCTTCCGGGACCCTTTAATTTACAGATACTGTCTGGAATTTTATTTATATAGAGAATTAATAATAAATAAAATGAAATAGAAAAATTAGGAGGACGTAGATTGCAACCATCGATCGCTACGAGGATCAGTTAAGCAAAAATTAAATGCTAATCGTTCGTCATTTATATATTATATCATTAAAGTATACAACGTTATTATATATTTATATATTATTTACTTCAGTCTGCCTCTTCAGAGTATAGTTAATGTAACACCAAGTTCATTTCTTTTTTTTTTTTTTTGTCGACGAATGTATTTAATAATTAATAATTAATAATTAATAATTAATAATTAATAATTAATAATTAATAAGGTATTTCAACACCTCGAATCGATAAAACGAGACGACAGTTTGTTTATTTGTTTTTTTTAACAATTGAAAAATTTCCTTTAAATTTTTTTTGCATTTTTGAATCTCTATTATAGTTATACACATCATAAACGCAACTGTCGCGTAAAGATTTTTTTTTATTTATATATATATATGTATATATATATGTGACGTTCCATGAGGAAAGGGACCTTAGCTGCAAAAAAATGAAAATTGAGTTTTTGATATCAGTCGATAGATCTTGAGTTGCTCTTTCAGATACAAAAGTTAAAAATTGTACTTTTCTATTTAGTTTTTTTGTTATAAAGCATTAATCATTACCATGTTAATCGCGTTCCAGCACGGACTACAGAAACCATCCCCACCACTTCTACACTAGTATACTTGTCGTAAGCGTGAGCTGTAGGAACGATGTAGTAGTAAGGTGGTGGGGCTGATTTTCGATGGAGGGTCTCAACCAATCAGGGACGCTCTACTTTAAATATCTTTTCTGGAAAATGCGTCTATTGCAGCTAAGATCCCTTTCCTCATGGAACGTCACATATGTGCATTCGTGCTTTGTAAATTTAAATTTTAATCATATTATATATTTAAGTGTAACGATAAACAGGGTAATTGATTTACCTTATAGTTTTAGAACATCGACATTATAATAGTAATATATGCATACATTATAATAATTAGATGACTTCCACTAATCATATTTTCGTTCGCCAACACACACCACATAACATTTTTGATGTCGTATTAAACACACTGTTCATTATTTGCAGGTAAACGACCCACATAGTGCTTTTATTATCACATTTTCAGTCACGCAACATTATAAAGTGAAAATAATTTTGTTTCTCGAAATATAGCAAAAAAAAAAAAAACAAAAAAAACAAATAAACTAAAACAAAAGTTTATCAAACAAGTATAAAATTTATATATAATTTTTAATATTTAATATTTAATTTTATATATAAAATATTATTAAACATTACTTTTTTTCCAAAAGCACTTGTGAGTCATTTCATACAATTACACTTTGTCTATATTTCTAAAATAGTACCGAATTTTGGGGAAAAAAAAAATACTAAAAATTTTAATATATTTAATAACTCAATTTCTTCACTTGCAAATATAGATGATATTTTACAATAACTAAGTTAATTCTGCCATTAAATAATTTTATATTTCAAATTAAAAAAATTCTTAACTAATGAAATAAGTAATTAAATTACTATTCATTAATTGAAGCAATTCTTTAATTAATAAATAAAAAAAAAATTGTTATCAACTAATGAAATAAATAATTAAATTACTTTTCTTTGAAAATATTTTTTAATTCTACATGCAATTATTAAATGAATTAAACAATTAATAATAATCAATAATAATTAAGTAGAATTTAATTTAAAAACTTCTTTTTTAATTTATTTTAAAAATAATTATTTAATTCACTTAATAATTGTTTCAATAAATTAATTATTTAATTAAAAATATTTAATTAGCTAACAATTTTTAGTTCTCAATTTTATTTAAATAAACAAACGATAATTCATTTAAACAATTATTTTTTCATAATATCGTGATAATTACGTTTCATGATGGTACAACTCAGAGAAAATATTTATGTTAAGGTGATTTTTTTTTAATATTTTTCTTTTAAAAACAATTATCATTGAAAATAGTAATAGTCTTACGTTATATTACAAAATTCTTTTGCATACTCTCAATAAACTCTATAATAGCTTTTTTGATTTTACACATTAAACATTTCTCTCGTCGCACTTTTCTTTTTAATATCTTACAATTTATGTAATATTTATTATTCTTTTTTTTCGGTAATATATATATATATATTTTTTTTAATAACTTATAATTGCCATTTTGCAATTAATAATAAAAAGTTATTTTACAACAAAAAACGACTGCCGCCTCTTGTCAAATCCTATATATAATTATTTTTATACATTAAAGTGGAAGAGTCGGAAATAAATTTTCTTTTTATTTCTTTATAAAGAACACAATAATTTTAATTAAAATTTATTAAATAAAAAATTAATATTTAATTTTGTGATAAAATTAATTTTTTATTAATTTAAAAATTAGAAAAATTAAGAAAAAAATCAGTTTGGATTCATCGACTTGAGGTGCTTTTTAATTAAAAATGACCTATACTTGAAATTAATTGCGGAATCGCCCACTCAAAATAATATAAAAGCAAAAGAGAAACAAAATATATTGAATTCTTTCTTTCGCGTCCCTTACGAATTAGGCGAATTGTGCAAAGAATTCCATTATTTTTTTCTTTTTTCTATAAATTTTTTTTTTTTTTTTTAAATTTTCCATTAAGTATCAAATTTCATTATTATTATTATTTAAAATTATCAATCATTTTGTATATATTATTTATTATTACTTTTATTTTCATTGAAAATGTGCGCGCAAGAAAAAAAAAGTGGAAAACTTTGCTATCTTTTTTTGTTTTTCATTATTAGGAATACGATATAAAATATAGGCTCGAGAATTCTCTCTGTTAGAATATAT